TCTTAAACACCTAGTGCATAAACTTGCCCTGGTAGCCTAATAGTAGTACCTCTGTGTTGTATTAAGGGACGAAGGGTGTATAAAGTGACTAGGGGCCATAATGACAGGGAACAGCAATCCCGATTTGCGAGTATGACTTAATCTGGCGAGTACTACGTATGAAGTAGATGTTGCTATGGAACTTGGTAGAGCATGTGCGGGTTTGGTACAGCAGTGGAGTGCTTGTTCCGATGCAGCGTCATTAATTGACATCGTGCATATTAAAAGACGGTAAGATTATCAGGAAATAATAAGAGTCTCTTATAAACCCCGTATAGGCAACTACTAGTCAAGATCTTAGCTGCCGATGCGCCATGGCTTTAATGACGCCCGTCAGCCAGCCGACAGCACCAAACGTTATAGCCTCACAAAGTTAACACTTCCTAAATCCACCGTCAGTGGCTAATAAGACATCAGTAGCTAATGCTTCTCTACAGTTAGAAACTTAGTAAGCGGCGCTTTCTAAGAGTAAGCACTTAAGGCGGCCGCTCCAGAGCCTCAAGTTTACGTTAAGCCTTGGGACAAGGTAGAACGACCAGAAGAACATGGCAATGGCAGGGTTGCAATATAAGCTAGATACTCCCAATCACCGAGATTGAACTGGGCTGTTAGCGAATGATGCTAACCGCAAAACTCAGTTTGAAACTATTCAGATATGGGGAATGAAACTTCAATGACATGATAGGTTTTGAGTTGGTCAGTTGTAGCTTGTAACTGGGTCAGAGTCGTATAGTGCTACTATAGAACAACATCATCTGATAATCAAGCCAAAATTTGAGTCCTCCGATTATCAAGACTGTACGGAATAGTAATAATGCAAGACCAAAATAGCATCTCGGTAGTTATTCGAGGCTCTTTATTGAGCCTTGGCAACCCCAGTTTCCCATCAAGCATATCGCAGGATGTTACTTACACCTCGGGTCATGAAGCCTGAAGCAGAAGGTTGGCCGACAACCACCGGCCAAGGGTCTAAGAAGTAAGCTGCTAGACTCATACGGGAATAGTGTCATCCATATCCTCTGCCCGGATCGGACGCGTCTGTTACCCGCTTCCCTCCGGACAGGGCCCGGGGTGAAACCCTCCGCTTGTGAGCACAAGAAGAACGGAGAAAGAAACTCATCAGTAAGAGACAGGTTCACAGGCTTGAGACTTGTTGCCGAGTTTAAGCTAATTGAGTGCTTGGGAGTTGTAGGTAACAGATATAACATAACATAAATTGTCATGCCAATACCTCGGCCTAACAGATACAGATTTACGTGCATAGCCGTGCTGGGGTATTTGAGTCTCGTGTTAACAAAGTCCATCACCACATTTCCACTCTACAGCAGTATTTTCCCAAGTGAGACCTATCGCGGAATTGAGTTCCGTCAGGTCAGTCAAATATCACACACGTGTCTCTACACACCATCCTCCAAAGCCCCCATGCATAACCAGCCTCGCAAACCCTTCTGGCCTTACCAAAGATACAAGTTTAGAGTCGGAGTTTGCTGTAACTAAGCGCCCTTTACTAAACCAACCCAAGTGCGGGCCGCCTCCTCCAAAAAAAGCTTGGCTTGCATCCTCCAAAAAGATACCCTTGCTCATCGTCTCCCGGAGGTTGCACTGAAGAAAGAAAAGAAAGGGTACGGAGTAGAAAAACACGATTTGCTCTTCCGCGAAAAACGGACGCGGACCGACTCTGTAAACTTGATCCGATCTAGAAATCGCCGCGGAGGACGGTGGCATGAGAACTGTTTTATCCAAGGGTTGCTGTGATGTTGCTGCAGTGAGGGATTGCGTTGATGGTCTTGGCCAAGACCTATTGTGAGTTGTTACATCAGCTGAGTAGGGAGGGATAGATATGTCTTTATCTATCCGATACACACACACACACACACATAGACAGACACGAATTGGGGATGAAGAAGTACCTCCCCAATTCAGTGGAGTCTATAGCAAACCAGTGTTGAAACACGGACTTGAACACAAGGTGTAATATTCGCGATACTACCTCGCGGACCGACCGACAATGCTGCTCTGACTGCTTGATGCAAAGAAACTAGCCTGTGGCGATATCATTTTCTCGCACTCCATACCGACATAGAACACAATCTCCGTTGCATTTAATACTATCGGCATGCTTCAGAATAAACAACTGAGACATGCCTTGGACGCGCGATGCTCAACGGCCAGTGAAAACGCCGCATCTGGACAAGTATCGTAGATTGCCTCATGCATGTTTCTAGAACTGTCACTCCCAGCCTCTTTTCATTTCGTCTAATGGAGCCCCCAATTGGGTGCGGGTTTGTTGCTCTGAGGAAAAGCAGCATCATCAGGTTTGATGTGCCTTGGCTGCGTCACCGCATCTGCATTGCATAACCGCCTACGTACGTATATGCATATGTATGGATGTACTCCGCGGCTGCACAAACGGTCTCCTTCACCGCATCGTTTGTTGGGAATAACTCCAACTTGTGTGCGTTAAGAGCGGACAAGATGGCAAATGTGTTATTCCGACCCCGTGCAAAGCAAAGTCCGAGTACCTGCTCATCTTGGACATATCTCCACCCTAGATGAACTTCATTCATCAGATTGCAGATCCTTTCTTTTGATCTCGTGGGTCTCGTGTTGACTTCCTGCTGGTGGGACTATAATATTCCTAACGATAATATCCCTCTGACACAGTTCGCCGAAGGAGGCGACGATCACTAACATGCATACTCGCTTCGGTATTAAGACTAGACTAGGCATTCGTCTAAGATCTTCGGTGCGGTCATCTAAGGCTGACGTGGTCGGTTTGTGTTGATATAACCAAGTACTCCGCAGTCTAGTAGTCTATGCAAGGTAACTAGTTTATGTCGGGTTTTGTTTCGGCAAGTATATGGCAGGACTTGAATACGAAGTACCTAGTGACAATAAGGCTGTCTGAGATTGACAAACTGTGAAATGCGATATTGGCTGTTACACCTTGTGAGAAAGCCTATGGGTCGTCTATGGCAGATATATCGTAATCTCATTATATCTGTAATGTAGAGCTGCGGCGGTTTAAAAGGCTGTTCGAGGCTGCTAAGAGTGCAATTGGAAACGGAAGAGATGATATCATACCACCCAGGTTGCTTCCTTGAGTTATGTACATACATACTCAAGACTCTGAATATTGGAAACGTTACTCAGAGATGTGAATCTCCAACCTCGGTATATAGAGCGAGTTACGAATAGCTACGATCATCATGGTGAACTAACTACCTATCTTGCCGCTACATTCGTCAACATGACCAAAACCTACAATTGTAGCGTTAGATGTAGATTTAATCTCGAATACACCGATTCCCGCATGTAGTATTCTATTTACACCAGTGCTGTGGGTTGCTGTCTCTGAGGTACTCTGTGGTTTCGCCAACATGATGAAATCGTCATAACCTTAGGGACACATATATCTGGTGTTATCTTCTCAATTCTCAAAGACCATAAGAACCAACAACATCTCAAGCTTTTCGTCAAACATCCTCCTCCGGGGCATGCGTACAATGGAAAGCATGGTAGTGTTATCCGGGAAACACTGAGTCTTTGTCTGTTACAGGCAAAGCTCACAATACCATCAGCATATTAACACTAGCCACTAGCAGAGGCTTTAGCTCACACTATGTTATGATTAATACCTCTCTAAATTCTGTTCTTGTACGTCCGAGTGGAAAGTGGCGTAAAGGAAACCCAGTCGTGGGCTTATATGTTGTTCTGACTATCGTCATCTGAGGAAGTAGTCTGCTTTTGTTTAAACTTCAGAGCTAGACGACCAGCTTCGTGAGCTCACCTGAACCATACGAGGCTGTAACATAGGTTGATATGTACAAGATCACTTCCTGCCATCATACGTAAATTGTTGAAGTCATTGAAGGAGTTTTATACGCATCAATCTCCCGATCAAATCCGTAGTCTAGTTACTCTTGTGTATCTTCCGTCTATTATCAGCGGCTTTCAATATCCCGTTGGAAGCTCACACCAGTCTAAGTCACGAGTAATTATACCAGGTCTTTAGCACGTATGTCCATTCAAGTAACGCAGTCAATGCTATTCGTAGGAGTTCTTCATGTACACAGATCACGAAGCGAGCACCTTTCTCTCCTATCAGCTCCATAACCCTCATCTAATATTTACCAGAATCCCACAAGGCTTTTAATAATGGTGCTTCGTTTATAGTTCTCTGTGTGGGTGCTGCTCTCAACTTTGGGTCAGTTGTTGGCACAATACGAGCAACACGGGGGTACTCAACAAGGCAGCTATTCGTTCCACCGGCGACCACTGACTTAGCAAGTTACCGAACTCACTAGTAGAGTTTTCAGTCAACGGATTTATATGTATTGTGTTGATGTATCTTTTTGCGTATTCATATTTTGTTCATATACCTGATTAAGCAACCTTAGTCGTTACTACACTTCATCGCTAGAGGCGAACAGGTCACAAACTATCTTGCATCTCGCATCTCGCCTTTCCACGGAACACTTACGCTACGAGTTTGACTCACTTATTCATGCATCGGTGTATGAGAGTGTGTGCATCTCATTATGATAGCCAGTATATCTCGAGTGCTTAAATGTCCCACACAGCCATGCAAGAGAATAACCATGGGTCAGACTCGCATCTGTAATAAAAGACTGAAGTCGCAGAAGTCTACCTATTTTTGTTCCCGATATACTGACTCGAATCCGTCCATGCGTTACAGCGGCCAGTGCGTTGAATCGCATATTCATCAAATCGTCTAACTCACTAGCAATATGATGGCATATATGATAGCGTATTGCTCTTTTAAAGTATCCGTATATGCACTATCGTAGTTATACCATTCAAGAGTTAAGCGACCATAATGTTTCGCTCCTAATTAATTCATCATAAGCCAGCTTGGCCTTCATTTCTATCATTGTGCCTTTATCCTACCCCCACATGAGGTCCCTTATGTTTCTACATGTCATCTTCCATGGTCCATTTTAGGGCCAAAGTTCAGTCTTCTCCCATGACCCATCACTCAGACGATAATTCCACCTCTTCCCATCTGCCGGATCAGACAGATCAACCTGATCCACCTCGTCCGGCACAATAATAGCAACGCGGAAGTTCTTCCTCGCAATCTCATCGTCCAGATCCTCCACCTTCTGCCCCGGTCCAAGACCAGCAGCAGGCTTCTCATCTCGCTTCGTCCCAGGTGGGGGGTTGCGGAATGTTCCTCGCATGCCGGGACTCAGGTTTCCAAAATGCGCTGTGATCTCCTTGCCCCAGTTCCACGAGCTCGAGCCATCCTCCTTCTTCTGCCGCATATGCTTCTCTATCTCCTGCTTGACGTGCGATGCTGACGGGTCGTCGATGTCTTGGCCAAGGAGAAAAGCGCGGCCTCGAAAACGCCACTGGGTTTTGGTCTCGACGACCCAAAAGACGGCCTCGACGGGCCCTCCGCCACCAGACTGCGGAATTTCCTCCCCTTCTGGTGAAAACTCTTGAACTTTCTCCATACGAGCGTCAGTGGTGAGGGTGAGGAGGTCACTCTCATATAGAGGTGGGTTTAGTGGCGCCTGATTCTTGGGGTTGACGGGGATTTCGGCCCAGTTGCCTCGATACACAACGGTGCGAGAACGAGGCGTGATGGAAGAGCCGCTATGGTGAAGAGTGCTTAGCATAAATGTTGGCGAGTCCATCTTGTCGACATGGGATAAAAACGCCGAGCGCCATGGTGCGGCTGGTGTTGGTAGAGATGTGGACATTGTGTGTTGAAGATGACTGAGGATCTGAGTTGTTCGCTGAATAGAACGAGTAACAGGTCTCATGGAGAAATGGGTTGAACTATCTTAAGAACTTTGCTGCCTGTGGTTATAGTTGCGAGGTTCTATATGATGATGATGATGCTGCTGTTGTTGCTTAGTAGTGAGGTCGTTGAACCCCACTTCAGTTTTCGGCATCATAGGTCAATGATCAGGACATTGATCTATGAGTCATGACAACAGATAATGAGCCAAGAAGGTCTCGACTCTGAGATAATTTAACGTGAGTAGAGCGTATATGCTACCCTACATCGTCCATCGCGGCTGATATAAGAATTTCATTGGTATAAAGAAGCGCGGGGAATAATGCTATCACCGGAGTCGAGACGTTTAAGCATTACCCGAGTCAACAACGTGTTTGTTGATCCACCCTCATATCCAGAGTATCCCCGTCCTCGGGTCGTACATCAGAACCAGAGCTCAAAGCCGTGATATCACCACTAGGTCTTATAGTGTATCTCTGTCGATGCTACCTGCGACACGGACGATGTAAGTGATAGGGTAGGTCACCAGTCATTCATGGAGCGATCGAGGGCCGCTAATGACTTCCGCAAGGTTGACGGCCCTGTAGAATAGCCGTGACTAACTAGCCTGCAAACTTAAATTAGCATAGACTCTCATTAGGACCATCACAATTCTTTCTCAAGAGCTGCTAGTTTTCATGGACAATCCACGTGTTGGAAGTGTCCAGGTTCAGACGAAACCGAATGCCACTCGTTTGCATGACGAGTTGCTTGGTCATTTTCCAAAGCCAATAGTTGGAAGGCGCACTATCACCTTGCTGGCGAGTCTTCACATAAAATTGCAGTGAAGCACATTGCATACGTCATGAGCTTCGTAGATTGGTCAACGAAGTTCCTCTGAATGTTCCAGACCGTCCGGGGTTCAAGGCCTGAACAAGACTAGCAACGGAGGCCCGGCAGCCAGCGGCATCACCAAATGGAAGTTGGCGACGGAAACAGGGATGTACCAAGCGACCTAGCAAAACCCTACAAATTGTCGCCGTCGCAATTGTAATGTAGGGAGACGAACTTGAATGAGATGGGGGGTGATCGCCCAACAAATGGCGCTTTTCGATATCGTCCCGTTCGTATCTTAGCCACTACTGTTTCGCCTCCGAGACTTGGAGAGGGATGCCAGCCAGGTCATCGGCGGTGTCCGAAATAGAAAAGGATAGTGATCGGCAAACACCTTCTCTCGATCCTTCTCGAAGATTGCCTACTACGTCCGTTGATGCATGGTAGCGCCAAATCGCCAACTGCCGTCCACATTCTTGGAGAATCGACAGACGTCATGAGTATTGGAAAGCCAAGAGCACTTGGATTTTAGAGTTGGGGTAAGATTCCATGGAACACGGCACAAAGCCACAGACGAAGGGAAGGACCAGGGAATTGTTCACATGTTCCATTCCGTTTCCAGGGGCGCAGTCAATATTGAGTTTAAGAGGATGAGTCCTCCGGACGCTATGGTAGGCCCAGCTTAGCGGAGAAAGATGGAGATGCTTGTCTCAGGCACGGAGATCAGCTAGGATTTGTCGGAGCGACGTAGTGCCTCAAAGGCAGTCGAGCAGAAGACTTGGCTTTGGCCAATGCCGCTGGCGCCCGACTTTACCGGGGTGCCGGGCAGTTGGGATCGGGTTGGCCTTCTTCCTAGCTTCCTGCGACGATCACTCTCGGATGTGTGCAATTGTTAGCTGCCCAAGTTTATCACAATTCCCAGACCTTAGTTTCTAAGTCCGGAGTATTGTCAACCGAGCAGGGAGTTGTAACTGAATTAATTAGTCAGTATCGGTAATCCGTGTAAGTCCTTGAATGCCGACCAGCCAGGATAGCAGTGCAGCAATTCTTTAGCTGACACGAAGGATCCCAAGCCAGCATTTCGGAAACCGACATAGTGACAGTCTGGCAGACATGGCGCATCCCTTTGGCGCTGTCTGATCTCACGGACTGCTTCGTTGTGTCAGAGTCAGACCTTCATCTCCTGCCCTGGCGTGACTTTCTAATTGAGCTTGCCGGTCTCACTGTGATAAGATTTGAATTACCTACCTCAGTTGGGCGGAATTAGAGAGAGGCGCTTCGGAAAGTGGAGATGATCGTGACTTCAACATGGCCATTGCTCTGCACCTAACGAAAAAGCCCCAGGCCTGGGCCAGCCATAATTGCGTGTTTTTGCACCCCGGGTTTCCCAAGAATCCAGTGATGACATGATCGGACTTCTCAAACGAGGGCTTGAAGAAAATATTGGAGCACCTTTGGTGGGGTTACCACACAGATCTGCGCTGGCTTTAATGTCGAGGCCGAGGTCAACCACCGATCAACGTACGGAAGCGATCTGACTATAGTCAGCGGAACCGGCACTTGTTGACGAGGCCATGGACCGAACGGAGTGGTCTGTCGATCCGTGCACCGTTTAGCTCTTGATAGTCACGGAGTACCTCTTGAAGGGGTACCTGACCGAGCCTAGAGGGGAAATAAGGAGGCTGAAAAGTGAACGGCCTCGCTTGGGTAGAGTGGGATAGAGCCGGAGACGTTTTCTATTTTCGAAGCGAGGTGGGAGAGACGAGGTTCATCGGTTGTTCAAGAGATGATGGGGATGGGGAGAGGAAGCTGGCCTGATATTACCCCTTTGTACCGAGTAATGTGGTTTGGCGATACGTTTCGGACGGTACATGGCTGCAAGCTTAGCGCATTGAGAAGCTCGGTAGATTTCCATTTGTGACATTGGGCGTCAACAGTAATTTTTGACTTGATGCCTTTTGCGGGTTTAGCTTGCCCTCATCTACACCCGTCAGACTAGCATTGCCACGATTTGAACCGATCAAGGAGGAGGCTTTAAACTTTTGTGTCCAATGTCTGCTCCATGTCAGTGTCAGTCTTGTACTAGCGAAGAAAGCCAAGGCCAGGAACGAAATGAAGTCAAGATTAGGTAGCCTAATCTTGGTATCGTGTATCGTGTCGTAGGTGGTCTGTGGTTTGTGGTCTGTGATATGTGGTCAAAGAGTACTCCGTAAAGTCGTCTTAATCTCCATTTCAACGGTATGCACGTCGTTTACGGATACTGAGTCGGCATTGTCTGAGTCGTATGTGACATGGGTTATTCCCCAATGATCAAACGGGTGTACGCGAGAAGATACATGCGTATGCAAGAAGGAAAATAATTAGTCGCGATCCGTGCCAGATTGTACATACATAACAGGATGGTGTATGGATGAAAATTGTTCATTACCCTGGGTCTTTGGGCAGGTACCAAAAAAAACCACGCGCCAGCGGGCGCAAGACTCCCGTAACACGCATGCAACTACCATTAGAGGCATAGTTAGTTTAGGGGTCTAGGGAAGATGCGCTAGGCAGTTATAACGCCCAAGTACCTTCGATGGCGCATTCTACTGCAGTCTTTCACTGTGACGAACCACAACCACTACTTCCATTCGTACGGGCCGCTACGGCTACCACTACCTACCACTACCACTAATTACTACAACCACCAATTCGCTACAGTTTTTTCTTTCTCCTTCTCCATTCCCACTCCATCTGTTACTTGCTCCGCCCCCGCCTTTTTTTCTTCCACCCCCATCTCTTATTTTGACTATTTTTCCTTTACTTTGTCCCATTTCGCAATTCCCTTTTCTTTCCCGGGACCTCTTGCTCTTTTTCTCTAATATTGAGTTTCGACCTTTTTGTTTATTCCCTTAATTTCGCTTGTGAACTTTTGAGAGGCTCCTTTACGCTCTTGGTGCCTTGTCTTCTTCGGCCCTACAGGACTACTATTACCACCACCACCACCACCACCACACTACTACTACTACAGCTGTCACATATCACTATCACAGTTGCTGTCAACCGTCATTTATCTACCTACCTATTCATCAATCGCTATCCGTCCCGTTACGTCCCGTCACGTCAACTCTGGTTCCGATGCTCTTAAACTGGCCTAACAAACTCTCCGCCATCCGCCGTACCCCAGCTGCTAGCCGCTGCCGCTGATTCTACCGCCCATGCTCATATCCGGCCGTTATTCCCAGCGCCCACTGCCCACTGTCCATATCAGCCGAGTCCCGAGGACACTGACTGGATGATTAAAGTCGTTGCATCGCATCAAAAGTCATCTTTATTTTTTTTATTCCCGGCCCGCCCTTTCATCCCCAGAACCTTATTTCCAGAGCTTTCCAGAGCTCCAGGTATAGCTATAGGTCCAGCTCCATCCAGATCCTCGACTTCTTTTCGGTCCAGGTAAATCCCAGATCTCAGCCCCGTTTTCCATCAGATCCAGCTTTCAATCCGCAACGTCCAATCGACGCGCACGTAATACCTTTAAAATAACGGCCATCCACTGGATCGATCGACTTGATGAGTATCGCACTGCCTTCGATGGATCTACCGCAACGGGCGCTTCCGCGTCATGCACATCACCAACATCAACACCAACATCAGCATCAACCACCATCACTGTCAAATCCATCGCCTTCTCATCTTCCGCCTCAGCATTCTGGTTCTACATATAGTCCTGGCCCTGTTGCTTCTCACCCGACTCTCCCTCTCCCGGGCACCCATCCACCATCATCGGCCTTGACACCAGGCTCGGCCTCAACCTCTCCGGCTTCCATCTCCCACAGGTTGCCGTCCGCTTCGGCTTCTTCAACCTCAAGGCACCCTACTGGCGACTACCAGGACGCAGAGGACCCGGACGCGTCCACGACGCTGGATGGAGATGAGCCTCCGAAGAAGAAGCAAAAGCGCAACAAGCCAACTTTGTCATGCCATGAATGTGTTGAGCGCAAAACCAAGGTACGATATTTCTATCTCACTCATTGTCATGCCATTGTTTCGTGCCGTCTTACTCATGTTGCCCCGTATGAAAGATGGGCCAGCCCACTTTTCCCCGTTGTTCAGCTCTATTGAATCTGGTCATGCTGTGCTGTCTTTCACAATGCTCAAGTTTGATTTGACATCCCTTCATTGTACTGTATAAACAGGTTACTTGGACGATTTACTAATACTAAGTGAACAGTGTGATAGAGGTCGACCTCATTGCCTTGCTTGTAAGCTCTTCCACTGGTTATTCTTGATACCAATATTAACATTGGCTAGGCATAAAACGACAAACTGAATGCAGATATGCCCATGTTGCCAACCTTCTCGAGTATGAAACTTCCTAGTCGAGTTCCTATCTGTCCCGTGTTTAACAACCAAGTAGGGAAACCACCAGGTCTGCTGCTAACGGCCGCCGAATGACCAAGCCTCCCAAGAAGAAGTCTAGCTCTAGTGGAAAGTCCCCGATTCCAAATATTGCAGATAGGGGCATGTCCAGTGACCCCAGAGCAACATCTCGAGGTGCTGTTGCACTGTCTATTGGTCTACTATCCAACGTCCCTTACTCCCTTCCCACGGCAAGCAACGTCTTTGGCATTGGATCGGAGCACCCTTTCGCCAACTATTGGACATGTGAGGGAGGACTACCAGAAGTTATTTCAGTCCTCCCTGACAAGATACAAGCCGACATACTACTCAGTCGTTACTTCGAGTGTGTTGATCCTGTGTATCCGATGATCCATCGCCAGACATTCTATGCAGATTACGAGCATTTCTGGCAGATGAATCAGCAAGAGAAAACCGACACGGATCCTTCCTTCATAGCTTTGATATTTGTCATGTTGGCTTTGGGTACCCAGTTTGTGACGTCGACGACAGCATCCCAAGAACGAAAGCAGACAGCAGAGTTCTATGCCTCGGCTAGTAACCAGGCACTGCGTATTGCTTCGTATCTCAGCAGCGCTTCATTGCGCTCTATTCAAGCTATGGTGTTATTGGTATACTTCCTCATCAACGACAACCATGCTTCAGATGGATGGGCATTCGCGGGTATCTTGATCCGACAGGCTTATGCCATGGGCCTGCATAGGGATCCAAATATCGGTATGTTAGATGTTCTTGTCTCCGTGTAGTCATGTACTAATCTTGAATAGTAACTCCTAACGCCACCTTGTTCGAAAAGCAGCAGCGTAGAAAGGTCTGGCAAGCAGTACTGCTCCAGGATACTTTCCTGACTGTCCTCCTCTCCTTGCCCCCTTCCGCAACACATACAGATGTTTCTGCCGAAGACCTGCTGGACGATGGTTCCTCTATTGCAAACAGCGACCCCACAGATACAGCATACATCCGGGGCTCTTGGACTTTAGCCAACTTGGTTCAAGAGACAATTTGCTCACCAAGATCACTAGATCTACCTATCTGCACTACAGCAAGGCACAAATCTAAACTGATCGCCGACTTTCGAGCAGTCTACCGATCGTTCCCAGATGTATTCCGATCATGGGATCCCGATAGCATCACTGCGCTTGCGAAAACTAACAAGAGGGTGGTCCGCCAGACTTTGTTCCTGACAAGCAACTACTTCCACAACCTGATGTTGGTTCATGCTTCCGAGAGCCCTGATGTCCCTGTCAATGTTCGCGGGACGCTGGAGGCGGCACATGATGCCATCACTGCCTTCTTCCTTCTCTTCACTTTGCTTGAAATTGAGGCACGCGTCTGGTGGGTGTTCAACCACAGAGCCTTCCTGGAAGCGTTGTGCATCGGAAACGTTCTGAAGGAGGCTACACGGGAACCCGGTGGTGCAGAGATGATGGCGAGAGATCCTCTGCTTGTGAGGGCGAAAGCCGATATCAGTAAGTGCACATTCGAAGCATCGTTGACCAGCCTGCTAACTTGTTAATAGCACGCATGATCCAAATCATGCAGGTTATGGGTGAAGACTCTGAAGTAGCTAGAACGCGTGTGCAGGTTTTGAGCGACTTCTTGACTTAAATAGGGCAGAACTCTTGTATGAAGAGTTCCGAATAATGACTGAATGAGGTTGGTAAAAATTGGTGGATCATATGGTTAGAGGATTAGTTTCGTCCTCAGCCGTTAGCGGAGTTCAGCATGTACATAAAGGTCGATATAGATAGCCATGTTGCTTGATAAACCCGCTTCGAGTATATATATGGCCGCTCGGCGGGAAACATATAGAAATAAGCATATGCAAGTTAGAAAACGCAATAATCAAGATGTTGTCCTGGTTAAGTTTTGGTGTGGAGGTCTTTGTTTGAAATTCTTGTCGGATATACGTCCACGATATGCAATTTAATTAGTAGTGTCTAGTAAGGAGAATCACACGAAGGCGCAGCAATGCTCAAAAAGACGTCACGACAATATTGAAGTTATTTCCGGATCGAAATATCGCCAAGACGATTAAAGGCAAGGGCATTGCCGATGCCGTCAAAGTAGTCCCACTAAATACTCGGCCGGGGGCTGACAATTGGGGGACTCGTCAGCTCGCGAAGGGCGATTGGCTCCTGGGGGTTTAAGTGGGACAAATTGCTTGCGTCGCCTGGTCCTCTTTCGAGATAAGGGTCGTCACCTGTCAGACGGGCTAGGCTCAACAGGGCTGCAGAACGGTTTCAGTGCGCGGGCTACTATGCGCTACAGGGCTGTTCACAGGGGACTTGGGGGAGGCAACCGCGTGGCCCCAGGCTCCCAGGCTCCCACATTCCGTCTTTTCCGTTGTCGCGTGGGCCCTTTTCTTTTTCCTGCTCGTTTTTCGCTGGGGCTGTTCATTTCCATGGCATGTCATCGCCTCTCAGCTCTTCTTTAGTGTTAGTTTAGCCGGCACCTGTTCAGATTAAACATCTATCAACCTCTTTCCCCCTCCTTGTCTCTTTGGTTTTTTGAATCCTTTTTCGTATTCTTCTACCTTAAGCTTCTTTATAGCGTGACTGCCTGTGAAACATCCCTGGTCTGTCGTGTAAGAGGGGTTTTTGGGAACTGCTAAACTTACTCCTACTACTACAACAACAATACAACCACCACCACATATTCTCGATATCCATCCATACTTCACGATGCGCGGCTTTGCTCAGGCTGCCGCCGCAGTGCTAGCACCGGCGCTGGCGCTGGCTCATGGCCCTCACCATCCTCCTCCTCCTCCACCACCGCCACCTCACATGGGATTCCTACCTTCAGCTCTTGATGTGACACCTTCAGCTTTCGTTTCAGTCAAGGTTCCTCTAAGCGGTTCTGATTCGTATCCTTTGGTACGTTTTTTTGGTTTTGAGGACATCACTCTTTGATGAAGCTAACATGTAACCCAGACACTCAGATTCGATGTGGAGGAATCAGAAGAAGCCTGTGGCCCTGCCAGCATCAAGCTCAACGGCGAGCCGCTGACACAGGACGCCAAGGGTCGCGGCGTTGGATCTTTCCTCGTCAACAACGAGACCGTCATCTCGGCCGACTGGGACTTTGAGTGTATCGGTCCCAAGGAGTTCCCCTTCGGCCAGTCAATGCGCTTCAACGTCAAGGCCCTCGACGACATGGCCCTCACAGAGGAGTCTTCCTTCTGGATGACTTTCAAGCAAACCGCCCCAGTCCGGATATCCGACGTTGGAAACGCCGCCTACGTATGGAGTCTGTCCATGCCCTTCAGCGCCAAAGAAAAGGATACCACGTCTGGCGACAAGTCCTCCGGCAACGCACCCCCTTCGAGCTGGGAGTACCCCGACCGCGAGTTCCAGGATCCCGAGGAGGAGCTTCAGGTTGAGCTGCTCGAGTTGAATGATCTTCATCAGCAGATTGTTCGGCTTGAGAAGCTTGTTGAGGAGAGGGAAGCGTCTGTGTCTAAGAAGCTTGGCAAGATGTATCCTCCCCCTCCTCCTTCAACCTTCAAGAAGATCAAGCAATGTGATGGCGTTCAGTGTGTTTTGCATACCGTGACAGATGAGATGCGACACTCTGCGCACCGATTCTACGATACTATCTTTGGACATCCTCCTCCCCCTCACCATGGCCCTCATCACGGTCCTCACCACGGAAATGGAACTCACCATGGTCCTCATCCTCCTCATCATGGCCCTCCTCACCACCCCCCTCCCCCACCACCTCCTCCTCACCACGGTCATCCTCCTTTCCCCTTCCCCGGAGGTCACCCTCCTCCTCCTTTCTGTCCTCCTTGCTCTTGTGATCCTCACCATGGCAACCCCCCTCCCCCTCATCACGGCGACAAGCCTCACGGACCTCATCACGACAAGCCCGAAGATGGTTTCCGTGCTGAGGAGCAAGAGGGACACCACCACCCACCACCTGTACGTTCTTTCTCTGCTGAAATATGAATACCCCTAGCTAACCACGCTGCAGCCTCCTCACAACCCCATCATTGTGATTCTTGGCGTTGTCGCCATCGCCATGGCTCTTTTCTGCGGTATCACCGTTGCCTACATCCACCGCCGCGTAGCTCGTCTCAGCCCTGAGTCCCGTCGTGCTATCCGCCGCGCATTCCGCCAATCTCGTGACGAGCGCCGCAAGGACTCTGCTCTCAAGGCTGCTTACCGCGCCTTCGTTTCGCGATGGGTTGAAAACGATGAGGAGGAGAAGGAGGCTATGCTCCGTGGTGACCGACGCCGAAGAGCTTCCTCCGGCAGCGACACAACTATGGAAGAGGAGATCGCTCAGTTCCGTGAGGCTGCTCACATGGTTGAGGGCATCGTTGCCGCTGAGGAGGGTCACAGCCGTGCCAGCTCTTACAGCTACACAACTGGTCCTGCCGTTCCTCCCCGCCCATCACACCACATCGCCGCCACCTCATACCCCGGCTTCGTCGACAACGATGACAGCCTCCCTGCCTACGACGACGATGAGCGCGACTCATCGGTTGTGGCAGACGGATGCCGATACACTCCTGGCAGCTCCGATTACACCCCTTCCACCTCCGGATCCAACGCCAGCGATGTTCTGGGTGATACCAAGAACTAAAACTAGACTGGATGAATTTCGGGCATGAATGATTTTTTCTTTTGCATATAACTATGATACACCATATTTCCTTAACTTGTTCAATTTTGTGCGCAGACAGTGGGTAATGGATGATTCGGTTCTTAAACTACAAATGCTATTTTCCATAGAAACAACAGCCATCTAATACCATGATCTGGACAGTAAATCTGTTTATTGTTAGCTTCCATTAGTGATGCGGCCCGATTGTGAATTGATCCGTCATCCACAGATGAACTCCTTATAGTTGTTTGCTATCTTCTTGACGCCATCCTCAAGGTCCCAACCCTTGACTTCGCAAACGTGTCGGTACATATCTTCCAATACACTATCCATGTGCTCGCCTGCTATATGCAGATCGCTCTCGACGAGGATGCTGTTGTCTGGCAGAGCGCGTATCACTTCATCGGTCTTGGTGCGGCCCGTATCCGTACTAAGGTTGACAGCCGCTGAGAGTGAAACAAAAATACGAGCCGGGATAGTCGGGACAAGGTACTGCTTAAGTACTTCAACACTGGCACTGAATGAATGAAGACAGATTCGTGGCGGATATGGCTTCTCGCTGTCGTCGTCATCATTATCCGAAGAGTCTTCCGCGCCAGTAGCAACCAAACGACGTTTTCGACGTGTCATTATTTCGCGCTTATGGCCCTTCCAAGTCGCCGCGAGGGTATCATGAAGAACACCATGAGCCTGCACGCCATGCACACTGACAGCTCGGCGAGTCTTGGCAGCTAAGCGGAGCTGGGCGGCGAGTATGGCACGTTGATGATCTATCCTTACGCGATGAGGACTGAGATGACGACCTTCGCGGCCGCCAGGAGTAAGTGTTGAATCTCTATCAGTATGTTCAGATGGGTCCCATGGTTCTGGGAGACGGAAAGCCTTATCAACACCAATCTCTCCTACAAGGGCATATTGGTAGGCAGATAATCGTGATTCTGTTGAGTTGATAAATGAGCTCACAGCGACCGGGTTCGGCAAAGAGGCAACAAAGTCCGATGAGGGCTCCGGTTGTAGAACGGCATTGTAGTGGGCCTGTTTGGCCGCAAGATCCGGCTCGGACCCGGAGGTGGGCCGGTAAGTCGGAGTGTCGGCCGAGTCATCATAGAGAAGATGAGAGAACCAAGGATGCCAGCCAAAAGAGGGAACTACACAGGTATTTTGTGCTTCCGAGTTGTCTTTGATGAGTGACTTGAGATCCTTGCTGTAGTGTTTGCCGGCGACGTCCGTAACGAGGTCCTGGTCCTGAGCACGTGTTGCCATGATAGTCAAAGCAGTTGCACGCATGGAGGAGATATCGTTTACCGAAGCCATGGTATCCGTAGGGTGGCAATGGGCGTCGCATATTGGCAGATGCCAGGGGAAAGGCAGTTGGTTGCCTGCAGTTGTAGACCCGGGACTTTCGTCATAGTTATGGGTGTGTTGACACATGCCGATGGCTTGATGAGGATCTTATGAGTCAATTGGAGGAATCAGATGAGTAGGTTCAGTTTGAATTTCGGGGCATATGTGAGAAGGTCCATTATGATGACTGAGGCTCTGAGCTCTGAGCTGAGAGGAAAGGATGATGTCAGTGGGGCAGTTCCATGCTAGTGGATTTACGATTAACAGCAAGAGGCTCCAAGTGGGGTTGGAATCAAATGTGATGAAATGGCAAGCACGGATTGAGCGAGTATTGAGTTAGTTCTGTGTAGATTTAGCACCTCTAATTGATTCAGTATATCAAGTCAATGATGTTGATTGCCTCGGCTTGAGGTGGTTCATGTGATGTGCGTGGTTGGTGTTTCTTACAGTACATACAGTACTATAAGGCAAGGTAAGCTGGGTTGGGCTGGGCCGTTAGTTCCATCGACCCGATTCTAGGGTCCTATTGAGCTGTGTCGATCATGACTTTGCGCTAGTCGGAAGTTTATTTGCATGCTCTTGATGATGGATCACATTTTCGTAGTGTTTTGATAAGAAGTTGCAGTTTGGTATTGTTGAGGTAGTGAGCAGTGAACACTGAGCTGTCGGTGATGTGCATACCAAGCAGGCTAAGTTAGTCTCGTACTTACCCCAGTGTCTCATCTCAACAGTGACGTTGTCTAGCTTCGACGCATGGCAGGCACCCTTCACCCTTTCATGTAACATCAAACTGCCTCTTATCATCACTTGCATCCTTCCTAACCTTCCAGCTGCAGCTTCCCCGCACGCTCCTTCTTTGTGGCTTGTCGCGTTGCCGTACGATTGTCACCCCAGACACCAAAAAAATAGGCAAGTGCAGTCATGCAAACCGACCTAAGCCAAGCCAGGCCAAGCCAAGCCACACCTTTTCACATGTGATTGCCTCACCGAGATTGAAACTTCCCTATTTTCTGTTCCCTTTTGCCCTTTCTTTTCTCTTCTCTTCTCATATTCGATACGTATGACTGTTACTTCTGCTTTGCTTCTGCTACAGGTTCGTTGTAACCCTATAGAGTCGCATTTACTGTACGAATAAGCAACTACTGTGTCCAACGACTCTAACCCCTCCGCGGCCGCGAGCTTTGACTCCCCGGAAACGATCTATCCTATCACGGCTTGCGGACATGTCGACGTTTAACTCGACCTAGAGCAATATCCTCCATTTTCTGTACATTTCGGGACTTGCAGTTATCTATTAGTCGCCCACCTTCTTGGACCTTCTTTCTTCTCACCCTCCCATTCTCGTCTGTATTTCCTTCTCTTACAATATCACACCTCGACTTCGGCTCTATCAGTGATCAATAATTCTATTCGACAAGACGCCCTCGAATCTTGTCGGTGCCATGTTATGTTAGTCTCAGACTTGTAAACCCATCAAAATGGCGCTCCTCAATCCTGTCTACGCTTTTGTTGTGCCTTTTCTTTTCGTTGTCACTGTTCCCTTGGCGGTATTTGCCGGAATCACAACTACGATTGCCTTCTCTGTTCTCATTCTCCGAGTGCTGGCCGTCTACATCGACGTTGCCTTGTCAATTGTTCCTCACTACTTGGGCGGGCGAAAGACTCGGCCTTACCACCCTAATAACTATCACCCTCACCATCAACTTCTCGAATCCGCAGCCCCAGCCGCACTCTATACCAATCCATCGTCTCCTTCAGCTGGCTCCACAGCCTTCGAATCATCTTTACGGCGTCGTCGACATCGAAGGAGCTCCAGCGCCCTATCCACAACCGGTACCACCACCCCTGGCAGCGAAAAGACATTTGGTTTGCTTCCTAGCACCGGGCCAGACCGGGACTTTGAGGGCGTTGGCGGCTGGCGACTAGGCGGTGATGACGAGACATGGACTGCTATCAACTCACGGTTAGAGCTGCCTGACAAGCAGCATCACGGGCGTAACCATCATCGTTCACCGTCTGGGCCGACAACGCCTGGGGAGGGTGGATATCTTATGATGAAAGGCCGCAACAGAAGCCCAGAGGCAAAACGAATATTAGCATCTCCCAACAGTTCGCGCACAAGAACACCTTCAGGACCTCGCATTGCTTTTACGAACAAATTATCCATCGACAGCTATTTCCCAAGTCTCAAGTCCTCGCCAAAAGTACTCAAGAAGCTCCCTACACAGGGAGTTGTGGATGCATAGACTCAGCAAGATTCTATTGTTGTTGTTGAATAAACCACTACGGCCATCTCGAAGTGCAGGAGTTGCTCACAGTTGCACAATTTGGGAACGAATTGTGACCATCATACTCAACCAATTAGCATCCGGTATGGTGTAGTGGCTAACATTTCGCGCTCTCATAACTTGAGAGAAAAGTACCGCGGAGCCCAGGGTTCGATTCCCTGTACCGGAGTTGAAGAGCCATTCTTTTTGCTATTCGATGCCATTTATACGTTGAGAAGGCATGTATGTCTGCAATTTCTAAGAATGGGTGGTTGAAGGGCAGGCATAGTGCCAAGTTTGATGAAAGTTATGAACAGGTTCATGAATAATCGGAACCATGACCCAAAGTGTCGCAAATATATGGTAATATGCCTCGGGCGGCGTTCAGGAGAAGCTTCGTTTACTGTCCAGATTCCTGGATAAGGGTGCAGAATAAAAATAGCTGCCAGGTTGAAACAACCGGCTGTAGATGACAATGTTTCACTGCTTGTGTATTAAACTCATTAATAAACTCAATCTCCTATTTCCTGGTATCTGTAACGCCTTCCAATGCCAACCCAGCGCAAATCCATTATCATGATAAAATTGGCAAACTGGACGCAGAGCATCATGTGCTTAAAGAGTTTGCCAGAAGTAGTTTGCATAGAAGAATCGCGAAAACTTCTTGTCCATGTTGACAACATGAACATCTCCCTTGCGGTCATTTCGAATCACCGCCTTGGACCACTCGCCGTCTCTGTCATCGCGCTCGATATCGATGCCTAGGCTACGATACACCTTAAGCCTCAGCAGCACTTCGTCATCCACAGGATCTCTACGCCGCGCGTTCGTAGCGGCATCGCCTTCTACGCCCTGCAGCTCCAGCTCGCGCAGCCGTGCTTTTAGGTCTGCGGCTGTGAGGGCAAGGCGCTCAGCTTCGGTCTCGGCATCGGCGGCGGCTTTTGCAGTGCGGAACTTGAGGGTGTCGAGACGCGCGATATTAGAAGCGTGGTCTGTAGATGAATGTGATGCTACGAGATCATCGTGGCGTGAGGTGTGCGTTGCGAGTTGGCGGGAGAGCTTCTTGAGTGATGATTCTGCTTCACGGACGCGAAGGTCGCGGGCTTGCTGGAGTGTGGAAAGGGATTCTGTGACGCGCGATACGGCGAGCTTATCTGGCGCGATGTTGAAGTTCTCGATTGTGTGGTGGATGAGCTGCAGGTTTGTTAGTTATGGCTTAAAGAGAGTGAGAGTGAAGATAGGGACTTACGGTTGCTGGTTCTTCGGAGAGCAACATCTTGAACGGTGAATGTGGATTTGAATTTGATCGAGAATCAAACGGTTTGTGTTATCAGAAATGGCGGGATTGCGATACAGTTGTTGAAACGCTTATGATAGATAGGGTGTTTTGCCAATTCAACTTTCTGCATTGGGTGTCATGGATGTGTGGATTAAGTGGGCGCACCCGGCACGTTTCGTCGTCACGACAACAATCTCACTTATCGATTGCATCCTCATTAGCCGAGTTTCTTCCGGCGGCGCCGCGCAGCGTCATCGGGCCCGCCACACGCAGGCAAGCAATGAGGCCGAAAAGAGCTACTCTGAATAACACGTGCGAAACCCATCCATTCCATTCCACCAAAGTCCTTCACTCTGACGTTGATAAACGATACTCATACGCAGGCTCTTTGGTCCCTCAATAAACTCTACATATCCGAATCTGTCCTCGAGGACCATAACTCCATCAAAATGGTTACCGAACTACCATGTGAGTCCCCCGCGAAACTTCATGACGATATTTTATACTGATATGGTTTTGTTCAAGATGCGCTCGATGCCGAGACGTTAGTCCCTCCCTGAAGACTCTGCGACATCGACTTCCCGATATTCTAACTAACGGCGCAATAGACCACTAAACGGCCCCGAACTCAATGTCTTAAAAGCGCAATACGAGCGGGAGGGTGAAATGGTTGGCGTCCAGACCAAGTTCAACTACGCCTGGGTAAAAGCGACCTCCTCTACAGCATCATCTCGCTACCGCTAACACCTCCTTTTTCTCTCACAGGGTCTCGTCAAGTCCAACCAGCGAAACGATCAGCAGCTCGGCGTGCGTCTCCTCTCGGACATTTTCCGCATCTCTCCCGAGCGCCGCCGCGAATGCCTCTACTACCTAGCCCTAGGAAACTACAAGCTGGGCAACTACGGCGAAGCCCGCCGGTACAACGACCTGCTTCTCGACAAGGAGCCCGCCAATCTGCAGGCGGCCAACCTGCGCCAGCTGATCGATGACAAGGTTGCCCGCGAGGGTCTCATGGGAGTTGCCATCCTGAGTGGCGTTGGTGTCGCGGCTGGTGTAGTGGGAGCGTTCCTTCTGAGAAACGCGAGAAAGAGGTAAAGAACGGCTTATTACTTCTGAAGGAGGGGAAACGTGCAGGAATATATTTTATTGCATGGACGATTTCGGGAACGCACTGTACTCACTCTTCGCTATAACCTGTGGATTGGGTCCTATTTGGAGTCTTGACTTTACGAGATGTGCTTGTATTACATAAAATGAAGCGACTCATATTATATAAGCTAACCATTTTTTTTACATTTCACGGTCATGGTATCATGTTATAGGTTTGGGTTGTAAGACTGGCAACGACTACTGAGATTTGACGTGACGCTTTTCCAAGTTAGATGGGGTCATTCGAAACACGTATCATACATAACAGAGGCGATCACATGCAAGACTTTTAGATCTAGACAAATAAAACGATGTTAAGGAAACCAAGATCAAGCCAGCTAAGAAACAAACCAAAGAGACGACGCATCACCATCTAGGGAGTAACATCTGTTGAGACATTGATAACCACCTTGTCTCAACAACAGTACGGCTAAAATACAACAAGCTGCTGCTCAACATCCTTTGAAAGCCACCATTTGATCCTGTCTAATATTATCCATGGCCGAGGCACCATTATGCCTCAAAGGGAAAAGGAAAGGGTATCCGTAGGCACGGTAGGTGAACAGGGCAACAAAGGGGGACTGTTCAGGGTTTGAGGAGCCCATGTATCTCCCCAGGGGATTATGGCGAACCAGATGCATATAAAACATTGCATCTTCAACGTCTCTCCTAGCGAGAAGCGCTTAGATGAAAACACCTTTCGCCAGTTACCCTGCTGTTCTTCTTCTCTCCAAAAGGTATTCTCATGTAAAAGATTAGAGGAGGGTCTCGGGCTGAACTTCAACCGAAGCACGGCCAGAGAAACTTGCTTGCCTGTAACGTCCAGCTATACCGAGACTCCTGCAAAGTCATATAGTCTGCACCTCCTATCTCGCATGACTATTCTTCATAATGACTTTTTGTTCCGTCTCCGTACAACAATCATTCCGTAGGGCGTATGTGATGTGATTAGGAGACAATGTTTTGTTTCTTAATTAAAAAAAGGGTGTGAGAAAGAGGCGACAAAGAAACGAGAATCGAATACAAGGAAGGGCGTCGAGCTGGTATTGTGTGGGCATCATGGGTACTCAGACATGGATAACGAAAGAGAAAAGGAATCCGCAAGTCGTCAAAAGGCTGGAGGCTTAGCGAAGGGAGAAACCCTTTCGCTTGCCCTCTTTCTCTAGTGGCCTTCCGCTCTCGACACGTTGCTTCTTGTCCTCGAGCTCGAGTCGTTGGCGGTCGAGTTGCTCCTTCATCTCCTTGTGTCGGGCATACAGCTCCTCTTCGGATTGCTTGAGTTTGCTCTCCTTTTCTGCGACCTTCTGTTGGAAGACCATCTTCATCTCCGCCTCCATCTTGGCGAGCTTCTGCTCGTGCAGGGCGCGCTCCTCTTCCTGCTTGACGGCAGGGTTGACCTCCTTGAATACACTGGGGTCTTGCGACACGCCCATGGCGAGCAGCTTGTCGGTACGGTAGTTCTCGTAGAGCTGGTTGTTGGTGTGCTCCTTGAGCTCCTCCATGTGTGTTCGGATGAGCATTTGTCGAAGCTTGACGAAGTCGCAGTGCTCCTCGTTGTCAACTTCGATGATACCCCAGGGGTAAGCACGGCCACGAATCTTGCGACCGTCGGCACTGGTGATCTCGTTGTTGGCACCGACAACAGCGAAAGGAACCTTGGACATGATCTCGTTGTTCTCCGCGATTGTCTCCTCGTCATCGAGCTCGTATCGGGGGCCCTCGAAGATCTGGATACCATGGTGCTTGATATCGGCGAGAATCTTGATTTGTTAGTTACTGCAGGATAACAATTTCTTCAGGGAAAACTTACTCGGGACTTGAAGGCAGCAATCTCCTCATCGGTAAGGGTATCAGCCTTGGCAATGACGGGGATCAGGTTGACCTTAGTGTGAAGTCGGCGCATGACCTCAATGTCAAGAGGCTTGAGGGAGTGGCCGGTGGGCTGAATGAAGAAAACACAGGCGTGAATTCGGTTGTCCACAATGTTCATGCGGTTGACCTTGTTCTCGGCATCCAAGTAAGAGTCGAATCGCTGCTCAATGTTGTCGACGATAGGGCGCCATGACTCGTCGTTGTTGACGAAGTCACCGAAGCCAGGGGTATCAACAACAGTCAGGCGGAGACGAACGCCAGCCTCCTCAATATCGGCGCTGATGGACTGGATGGTAACGGTCTTGGGAATAATGTCGAGGCTAGGGCCCTTGCGCTCCTTGGGGGGGTACAAGGAGGTGTTGAAGAGGGTGTTAACCAGAGTAGACTTGCCCAAGCCAGATTCACCTATTCTGTTGTTAATTCGGTCCTCTCATAACTGCCATTATGTGTACGTACCAACAACCATCACGTTGAAGTTGAAACCCTTGCGCACACTCTTTCGGTGCCATTGGTTGGGAAGGTTGGCAAATCCGACATAGCCAGTAAGCTTTCTTCGGACAATGTTCCTGTTATCAGTCGTGGGAGGTGGCTGAGAAGGAACTACAAAGATACAGTCAGCGAATGGCGATAAGTATACCGTGTTTGATCTGGACTCACCATTAACAGGCGAGGCTGAAGGGGCCAACGCCGGAGATTCGCTGCCAGGAGAAGCTATTGACACCAAGGTTAGCAAAAGATGCACAAAATGACGACTGAAATATTATGCTGCGTAAGGTAGAGAGAGGCACGTGGAGGACCCTGACTAGTTGAATAATGTGAGCTGGTATGTCGACGGTCGCTCCTGGAAAGCTCTTTTCTGGTTATGTCTTTCGAGTCGGGTTTTCCATGTTGGGCCGATGAATCTGCTATCGTCTCGTTGGGCACAGCATCGACATACAGTTCATCGAATGACATTGGTTGCATAGGGCTTAATGTTGGCGGATCCTGGGCATCGACATCGAGCATGCTGCGATAATGGCGAACAGTCGATGGGCGAGGTGAGGATGGTGGAGACAGCATCTCATCATCTGGTCCCAGAGGTAGGCTGATTGTTCTCTTGGAATCCCGCGATGTTTTTGGCGACGATCCGGCGAGAGGTGAAGAAGCCATGAATAGGAGGCCCCTATCGAAGTGCACACTGCGAGTGCGCGCTCTGACGTGCTGCATCAGGTCGAGTGCCATGATCGATTTCAGGGACTGAAGGGAGTGTTGATTCTCAACGAGAAATACTGGACCAAAAGGGGGGCTAAGAAGGTAGACCCAAGAAAGTTGTAGATGATTGGGAAACGGATGTCGTCGAGTTTATCGTGAATCGATGGCGGCATGGGATGAAGGTCGCTATTGTCGAGCTGGACAGAGAGCACGATTCTCCTCGTGGCGATTGGAGGTTGGAGGCTCTTTCCTCCACGTCTGCCTCTGTCTGCACCTCTACCTGGCGCTTGTGCCATGTGGTCTGACACGCGCGAGCATAAAAAGAAAGAATCATCTTACCCATATTCAAGTATCAAGAACGGTCGAGGTTGGATTATCCGTAGGGAAGTGCTGGTACTAAGTTGACAACCGCTGGTTAGCTACGTCAGGGGAAAGGCCAGCTAGCTGTACGAGCTTGGTGGAGAGGTTCCGATTAGAACAACACGGAGGTTCTCAAGGTCGACTCTTAATCACCAGACTACAAGCGCAGCGCTGAGCGAGATGGATGAATATCGTCGAGATGTCGAGTCTATCGAGAGTGCTCCTTCTCCGCCGGGAAATAGGGAGTGGAACAGGGACAGCAACTCACGGAAATACCAGGAGACGCGTGTCAATGGCGTCGAAACGAGAGAAGACGAAGGATAGAAGGAGGTCTCGGGCTTTTCAACACGGGACCTACTCTCACGCACGATAAAAAGGGCGATCGAGAGAGAAGAAGTAAGTAGCAATGATGATGCTAGAAACGGGGGTAGGAGAAAAAAGAGAGAATGTAAAGTCAAGGAGAAGTATGGGAAATTTTGGAGGCGACAAGCGGACCAAACAAGGAGACGAAATTCTGATGTGCTGTGCTGTTCTCCCAGCAGAGGGTAGCCTTTGGGCAGAGAGCCGTGCAGCAAAAGGGGTTTATGTGAGCTAGTCTGTACTTGGATTAGTGTGGGTCCCTCAACTTACATGATCCAGGGGCATGCTCTGGAGAATTAGCGGGCTGCGTCGCTGGAGGGCTGCTGTCGAGGCCTCGAGGGTGCCCAATGCATCGTTCTAATTGGTCAAAGCAGCACGGGTCCAATTAACGGCTCGGGACAGGGGTTGTTGAATGGTAGGATGGGACTCTGGGAGATTGGAGAGGGAGAGCTCTAGCTTCACCTCAAGCAAATTACTCTATCTTGGCTGGCGGTACGGATACTTACATCTATCTGCATCTACATCTGGGTTTTGCGTATTCGATAGAGTTTACCTTTGAATTGGGTCTCTTGTCCGATTGACTTCACCGCTTCTACAGACTACAGCATAGTCTATGTCTCCTTGCTTTGTATATGTGAATATCCAACTGTGGCTGGTCCTCCTCCTTACTTAGATTCATTCCCCATGCTTGGAGCTCACCTGAGGTTGTTTCTAAAAGGGGAATGCTACTTCAAGTCCAGCACCTCCATCCTAGCTCGGTTGTGCTTCAAATATCGATAATCTTCTGTTCTGCACGTTGTTGATAGGGGCTCCCAGCTCCTATTTCCATCATCCGAGTGCATCGTTAATCTCGTCCGTAAGCTTTGATAGTCTTTGATCTGCAGTGTTCGCTTTTGATCATTGACTCCTATCTTTGGTGGCATCATCTCAAGACATCCCTAAGACGCTGCTAACTAATCAGAGACACATACCAAGACATACGTTGATCAACGGTGTTTCTAAGAGGTCACTGGCCAAGCTGTTTTGTCTCCCTTCTTCTCCTTCGCGATTGTGACTTCAATATTGAATTACGGCACATACATGCTATTATCAGCTATTTGTCCACGGTTGCACTACCGCTAGGCGGTCATTTAAACACGGTAACATTGTCCACTCGCCGTCAACTCCGGTCGCGCCTCAGCCGCTCTCACGTCTGTGCTAGGAAGTCCCTGTTTCTGACTCCATCTCCGTCAAAACATAAAACATCCAATGCTATTTCTGTCCGACAGGAGCTGTTTCTCTAGTGGAGTCTATCAGTTTGTTCTAGGGTGCAACTCGCCTGAGTCGCCTCCAGGCCTCGTGATAGCATCCATGTCACTCCAACATGCGCCAGCCTCGTCTCATCTACAGTTCTTGTCACATCAAGTTTGTCCCCCAACAACAAACAATTGTTTAAATTAGGTTACAATTCCAGCGTATGCACGTATACCAACCTCTTGATGCATGAACAACATACTTGACTATGATAAGCCAACCATCAACTTTTGTTGGCGCTGGACACGAGCTTCATTACAATCAATGCATCTGCCCTGTATATAGCATGTTTCCAAGGGTCGCACATAAGAATTAGCGACTCATATCCTCCATACACCTCAAGGTTACCTATTGACCATGCTGCACGTTACCCACCCGCCCCCTTCGGCAACGTGTACGACACGAGCACCCAAACTCGTGCCGCTCGCATTTTGCGTAAAGGCCGCCAGCAAAGGGAGGCACGCGATGCATAAATACATTCCAGCCAATGGATGGCTTTTCTATAGTAGTTCCCCCTTCAGAGCGGCAAGGAAACAAGCAATTGCTGTTTTTCGTCCTCCCTGCTATTCCCACAGTTACCCCAGGTTGTTTTTTTGGTCGGCTTTTTTAAATAAAGGTGCAACGTTCGACCATGCCATAACGTGACTGTACAAGCAGGATACACAAGATTTTATAGGATTTTTAGTTGATACATAAATGTGCATTTAGCAACATGAACAGTTCATTTTCGTTTCAAGCAGTCTCGATCTCTACTTATGCGTTCATTGGCAATTTGCCCTTTAGTGCAGGGTAGCCCCTTTTTGTCTGAACTTCTCCAGTCACATTTGATACAGACCTGATAAGCAAGGAATTGAGCATGAAATACCGTGCCCGACATCAATACTTATCGCAGTGACTTTATAGGTTTATACACTAATCTCTGCCTTGGAGTACTACAGGTTGGTGAGTCGGTGATAGAACTTTCCTCGTAAGAATACAAAGACCGCAGAAGAGTGGTGTTTTGAAGCAGAACAAGGTATGTATAAGAACAGCACCATCTATCATATATCAAACCAGCTCTAAATGCCCGGATTCCTGCTTTTAATACGCGCCATATTTACTTTAATAAAGGTTATCGTACAGTGCTGCTACGAGCCGCCCAGACATCACCACCACACCTGACATATTCATACCCTAAGCAAGACCAGCCTGCTGGCTTGCAAAGAATCGCTTTGACTCAGCGCATCTCTCGCTCTTGCAACCGGGGCATCGAAGACCCAACTGCTTCGAACACGCTTGGTTTCCAGCAAGATGCGCCTTGGCAATGTCGGCAAGAGCTTCGATGAACACGGGGCTGCCGTTGAGAGACTCAACTCGCTTGACGGTCTCGGGGCTACCGCTGTCGGCGATGACCTCCTGGTCCAACTCGTAGAGCGTCTCGATATGGTCAGAGGTGAAGGCGATGGGGATGAGCACAAGGTCCTTCTGGCCCTTGGCAACGTAGTGCTCTACGCTGTCTGAAGTCTGAGGACCCAACCAGGCTGATGGTCCAACCTGAGACTGCCAGCACAGGCGGTAAGGGTTGGCGAACCCAAGGCGCTGCATGACAGCGTAGACAGTTGCCGCGACCTCAGCAGGGTAAGGGTCACCTATTGTGGAGTTAGTATATGTTACTGAACGCATCATATAGCAGACGAACCTCTGTTGACGACAGACATAGGCAGACTGTGTGCAGAAAAGAGTAGTACGACATCCTTCCTTCGCTCCTCGGGATATTCTAGAAGCTTGGCCTCAATGTTTCGAGCAAAGGCCTCAACGAGACCGCTGTGGTTGGGCCAACGGTCAATTACACTCCACGTAATAGTACCATCACCAATCTCCTTATTGGTCTTTCCCTCCATTCTGTGCCTCCACTTCCATAGCTCGTTCAAGCTGCTGCCCGTGGTCGAGCAAGAGTACTGAGGATATTGTGTGAATGCGACAGCACGGCCACCCTTTCCGTTACCAAAACCATCCTTCAAAAGCTGCTCATACATGTCCTCGGTCAACGGGTTCGCGTATCGGAAAGCGACGTAGGGCTTGTGAGGCGCAGTCTCGGGAGAGATCTTGTCCAATATCTTGCACATCTCGGCGTTTTGGTATTCGGACCACTTTCGAATTGGGGATCCTCCACCAATGGCAGCATATTGCTTAATGATCTTGGGTGTTCGTCGCTTCGAAATCAGAGGACCAAGATAGTTCTGTAGAGGGCCCAGAGGAATAAGGTCGCCATCAGCCTGCAAGAGTCGTTAGTATGCATGATCCGGCGGACTCGTTTTGTCAACGACGGCTTACAAAAAGACGACTCAAAAAGCCGCCAACCTCGTCGGTAGTCGCAGGTCCTCCCATGTTGAGAAAGACCATAGCCGTGGGACCCTTAGAGCCAGTAGCATCTTGAGTGACAGGGTGGACTGGAGTGGCCAGATATCGCCTTTGGGTAGCGATTTGGGGCAGCGCAAATCGATGCGAAGTGGCCTGTGAAATGCCCTTACAGAGGCCTGTAGATCTTCGTAGAGCCATTGCCATTGAGTTTGCAGTGGCTTGGAGGAGAAAAAGTGCGGGAGGTAAAATAAGAACCAATTTCTCAACAGGAAACGGTGTAAGAGTTTGGAATCATAAAAACTGCTGAGGGGTGTACGGAAATCTAATGTTACGTACATACAACTAGACCGATGATGCACGCATTTCCATGGACTCCGGGATCGCCTCTAACGCATCATATCGAGCTAAAAGTGACCTGCCAAACCGCGGGAACTCCGTACTAAAGAAGGTACCGCTGGACAAATTGTCTTCAACCAATCATACAATTGGTAATCCAGCTATAGAGCTCACGTGATTGCGCGACAGGTAGCGCGTTTGCCCCTGTAGCTTAGCTCGCGTTTGCCTAGAGCTATGGCCCACTAGCCTGAAGTCACCCATCAGCTCTTAAACCCAAGTCCACCCGCTTGACGCTCACTAAGATTGATCAGTCTTCGATAAACACAGACATCACATCAATCATGGCTGATAAGCAGGACTGGCGAAGAGAAGACGAAGATGATGGAGAGCAAGAGGTTGACGAGAACGTGAGTTTAAATGATACTCTAACATCCTATCTTACAAGACTCAACTTCATATTGATCCACTCATAGACCTTCAAGGCACAAAAAGATGCCATCTTGCTCGCTATAGATGTGAGCAAGTCCATGTTAGAACCACCGCCACATTCCGATTCCAAGAAAGCAGATCGCGACAGTCCTGTCCAGGCGGCTTTAAAATGTGCCTATCATCTTATGGAGCAGCGCATTATCTCCAATCCCAAGGACATGATGGGCATTCTTCTCTTTGGCACTGAAAAGTCCAAATTTCAGGACTCCGGCGATGGTAGAAGTGGTCTTGGCTACCCACACTGTTACCTGTTCACTGATCTTGATGTTCCCGCGGCGGAAGACGTTAAAGCTCTCAAGGCGCTGGTTGAGGATGGTGAGGATGAAGACGAGGTGTTGACACCTTCCGATGAACCTGTCAGCATGTCCAACGTGCTATTTTGCGCAAACCAAATCTTTACAACAAAGGCTGCGAACTTTGGAAGTCGTCGCTTGTTTATAGTTACCGACAACGACGATCCCCACGCCTCTGAGAAGCAGGCCAAGTCAGCCGCGGCGGTTCGAGCCAAGGATCTTTATGATCTCGGGATCTTGATAGACTTATTCCCCATTACCCGAGGAGGTGGCAAGTTTGACCTAAACAAGTTTTACGATGTAAGGACTGTTCGAAGAATAGTGTGGCATTGGCTAACGAGAAAAGGATATTATCTATCGCGACCCCGTTGGAGAGGCGAACATGTCTGAAGTGCGAACTTCAAAATCTGGAGATGGACTGAGCTTGCTCAACTCGCTGATTTCAAACATCAACTCAAAGCAAAGTGCAAAGCGAGCTCTCTTCTCAAATTTACCGTTTGAGATCGCTCCCGGTCTCCGAATCTCGGTCAAGGGTTATAACATTGTGCACCGTCAGACCCCAGCGCGCACTTGCTACATTTGGCTGGACGGTGAAAAGCCACAAATCGCTGCAGGTGAAACCACACGAATCGCAGAAGATAGCGCAAGGACTGTTGAAAAAGGAGAGATAAAGAAGGCGTATAAGTTTGGAGGCGAGTACGTCTACTTCACACCTGAGGAGCAAAAGTCATTGAAGGACTTCGGATCGCCCATTATTCGCATTCTTGGCTTCAAGTCGCGCAACTTGCTTCCTATATGGGCCAGCACCAAGAAGTCCACGTTCATCTTTCCGAGCGAAGAGGATTATGTTGGTTCGACCAGAGTGTTTACCGCACTGTGGCAGAAGTTGCTTAAAGACGACAAGGTAGGCATCGCTTGGTGCATCACTCGTGCCAATGCGCAGCCAATGCTGGCCGCCATCATACCGTCCAGAGAACGAGCCGACGACGACTCAGGAACACCATACCTACCGGCCGGTCTCTGGATCTACCCTCTGCCTTTCCAGGATGATCTTCGCAATATCAACCCACCAGATGAAGTGCTGCGAAGTTCTGGCGAGCTCACAACACACATGAGAACCATCGTTCAACAACTTCAACTACCCAAGGCTATGTACAATCCTTCTAAATACCCCAACCCTGCACTGCAGTGGCACTACAGGATTCTTCAGGCTCTGGCACTGGAGGAAGAAGTGCCTGAGAAGGCAGATGATGCAACAGAGCCCAAGTATAAGGCCATCAGCAAACGCGCAGGCGGTTATCTGGAAGAATGGTCCGAGGGACTGGGAGATGAGTCGGGCAAAGTTGCAAACAGCAAATCGACCAAGCGTGAAACGGATGACGAAGACGCGGATAGGCCTGTGAAGAAGTCGAGAGGTACATCAGAGAAACCATCTGGTTCCTCCTTCAATATGGCTGAGCTAAAGACGGCAATTGAGAGTGGCAGCATCACCAAAATGACGGTGGTGCAGCTCAAGGACTTGCTTGCTACCAAGGGAATGAGCACGGCTGGAAGAAAGATGGAGTTGATTGAGCGAGTTGAGCAATGGGTAGAAGAAAACTCATAAGGATGATATCAGTGTTGGACGTCCACGTTCTATGTGTGTGTATGGTAGCCGGTTGATGTGAGATGAGCTTTCGCTGGTTGAAAAGGCGTTTGTTTGCTTATTGAGAATATTGATATTCGGGGAATAATCGATATTCTATTGTACTAAATGCTCAGACGAAGTTCTATTGTTCTCGCTTACTATTGATGTGAATGCGAGCACAACTATTCACGATGAAGGCGTTTGATGCTCTTGAAATTCACCCCTAAGCTAAAATTCTCTCGATCATAACATCTTTCAAATACACAACTATAATAAATTCTCTCTTCTCCATGAAAAATGCAACTTTCTACATAATTACTTGCCGGTAGTTCACAAAAAGCAACCTTCTATATGTCGGTAATTAATTCTGGAGAGATGGAAGGTGGCAGCCCCAGTGCTATTTGCACACCACCTGCGTTGCAGCTGTCAGAGTTGGTTAGTGGCTCAGGCTCTAGCTCTCAGTGGGATGAACCACGCACCCCCCGGCCTACATCATCCACCAAATCAACGGCACATCCACATCCACATCCACCCGCGTCCGCGAGCCTTCAAGCACAAAGTCCCAGACGACATCGTCACACTCTCCCATCACCAGCGCTTACGAGTCCATCGCCTCAGAAGGAGCCTGGCGCAGACGGTTATCTCTCTCGGCTATTGCGCCTGGCGCAACACACTCCGACCCGCGCGCAACACGCCAGCACCAGCTCCGCCATGACCGATTTCCTCGCGAGCTTCGGTCTCGGCGCGCAGTCGCCAGCTGTGTCGAGCAACCCGCAGTGCGACTCGGTCGAGGAGCTCCAGCATCAATTGCGAGGCATTTTAGACGCCAAGGCGACACCGACCCACGCCGAACATGTAGCGATTACTATCGAATTGAGGGCTACGGTCCGGTTCCAGTTGGCTGTGTCAGAGCCGGAGAATGGAGTCTTGAAGAATTTAAACAACCTTGATCCGTCGCTGGAAGGTGCGCAATCTTCTGGTATGAATGATGATCAGAATGGAGCACAGCTATCGCGTGTTGTTTTCGCCAACGACACCCTCATGAACCAGCCGCAAGATGATCCGGCACTCCAACGATCGGTCGCTAAACATATCATCTCGACGATCAGCTCAACAGATGGAAGTACTTGGATTGTTCGGGAGGTTTCGCGGGGAACACAAGGTTGGACGTTTACGTATCTTTGCAAGGATTCTTATCAGCAATGGAATCGACAGAATGCGAAGAACCCAACAAAGACAGTAGTGGGCGAGTTCAGTCAGAGAGAGCCAGACCCAATATTGCACAGTAAGTTAGAGCGCTCCAGTCGAGTTTATTTCCAGTGGCTTATTATGACATAGCACGACCTGCGTTCGACTGCCGCGGATCCATCACCATTGCCTTTAACCGCAGCAGCCGCTCTATTACAGTGAAACACGATCATACTCCTCTGCACATGACAGTCGCTGAGCTTGCCACCCGTTTCAAACCTGCTCCTCGACAACTAGGACCAGGTGCACAGAAACTACAGGAGCAGCAACAAAAGGCCAAGGAGAAGACACCAAAGAAGCCCAGAGGCGAGAGGAAGAAACGAGACTCGCTCAAGGCGCAGGATGAGAATGGCAACCCGCGAAAACGAAAGAAGAAGAACAACGGCGCAGCCCACACATGGGATTCAGCTAATGAACCTATGATAATCCCAGACTATCCTGGAGCACCAGGAATTGACGGACAAAACCATGCTGGATCATCGTATACCAACAGTGGACAAGCCAGTAATGGACAGCAAGGTTTCAACGATTATCCACAGGGACTGATGGGAGATGGCGCATCAGCAACAGCAAATGGCACTGCGTCCCAGCAGACGGGCCAGCCTGGTTCAGCTTCTTTCCCAGTCAATGTCTCAGCAGCAGAGGCAGCACGACGACGAGAGGCAGCCACGACAATGCTTAGCAATGCGGGCGTAGACCCTACTACACTATCGGCCGATCAGTTTGGTATCTTTGCAAATCAGGCACCTGAGCTGCAGCGCGAGTCGCTTAACATGCTTGTCAAGTACGGCGCAGAACGTCTGAGAATTGTTCACCCTGGTAACAGGGAGGGTTCGGCACAGGCAAGTGCGTCTTCGCAGAGCAGCCAGACGACCTCGTCCTCAAGTGGACCAATGACCACCAAGGAACTCGTGCCTCAGTCCAGCGCGCAGAGCAGTGCGAATGCAGACATCGCCGCTTCTCAAGCTGACGATGACTCGACGTCTAAACGTAAGACGAAGAAGATGAGCAAGTCGCGGACAGCTTGTTTCCCTTGCAAGGCACGAAAGACTAAGGTTAACATCCGAAAACACACTCACTTGTACAAAGCTAACTACAAAAAGTGTCCAAGGGAGAGACCTACCTGTACTGAATGCTCGAACTACGGGACTTCATGTGAATATGCACCCCAGAAACCAAGAAACAGGGGGAAAGCAGCCAAGAAATCTGCGGCTATCGTTGTTGACGACGATGAGGAAGACGAAGAAGAGGATGGACCAGAGGAAGAACCGCAGGAAGATGCTGAAGGAGAAGAGCCTGATCAAGAAGATGAAGCGGAAGAGGAAGAGGAAAATGAACAAACCACTTCGCAGGACTATTCATACCCTCAGATGAACATCGGAAATATGGTCACCAACAATGATCCGACGACTCAAGATACCCACACCACACATAATAACTACTATCAGCCTGCTTCAGTTCTTGCTCTATCCCAGCCAGACCCCTACTCGACAAGCTCTCAGCCGTTGGCTACATCAGTGTCGCAAAGAGATAAATACTCCCATACTCTGCCTGAAGCACAGCCCATACGCCATCCACCACCTCCTATTCCAGCCCCAGCTGGAACGATTGCCCCTTCTGAGACAAGACGATGGACAGCCTTTGGTGGTGGTGCCAGTGCCAGTGCTAGTGGCAGCAGTAGCAAGACGCGAAGAAGTCTTCCGTCGGAGCCTCCTCACACGAGCGGACAGAGTGTGTCTACCACGAACCCACAGCCTTCGGACTGGGCTCAAAGCGCCAACACGACTATGCCCGCAACGACCATGGCCTCTGTTTCGCCACAAATGTCGTATGGTACGCGCTCTGGTCAGCGCTCACGGCAGAAGAACCAAAGCTTGACGAATGATACGGCCCAGCAAGCATCAGCAGTGGCCAATTCAGCCATGCAACAGGCGCAAGCGCAAGCACATGCTCATACACGCCAATCACCGGTGGCTGCGGCAGCTATGATGGCCCAAGCCCGTAAATCCCCATACCAGCAAGTTGCAGTTCCTCGCACGACTTCTAGAACCAGTCAGCGAAACCAGTCCCGAACACCCGTCGCGGAGCAGACGCGAGGCTACCAGCCGCCTCCTCCCGATTTGAGCCAGCAGCAATCTACACGACCTAGTGCTCATTATGATACATCGCAAATGGCTAGTGGTTCTGGTTACAGTAATAGCCATGGTCGATACAGCAGCAGTAATACTGCGACAAACCATCAACCAGCTATGTCAGCAGCTTCGGCGACACCAACTACTATGAGCACATCGTATCAGACGACTTCGTCAACTGCAAACCAGTGGTCTGGGTCATCTAGTCGAAACGATCGCTCATATGACAGCAATTCGTCATACCAGACCCCTAACGTTTATGCCCAGGCGGCATCTTCCAAGCCAGCATCAGCTTCGGCTTCACGCCAGAACTTTAACATGCGCAACAATACACAGCATAATACTCGTGGTAGCAGCGGCTCATACAACCAGCAACCGCAGCAGAACTTTTCGTCTTACCCTGGGTCTTCAAACCAGAACCAACAGGGACAGACACCAAGCCAGCAACAGCAACAAGCACAGGCACAACAACAACAACAGCAGCAGCAGCAGCCAGGCTGGTATTTCCAAAATTCACATAACCCTTCCCTTTATCAGGGGGGTCAATCGTCGGGCTATAATTATGAGCCTTGGTCAGGCGTTTAGGGTCGATAAATCCAACTGTGTAAATACACTCATCTATCCATGGCTTTGTGGTAGGGATCAATTGCTTTGAGCGGTTAGGTGAATGGGGTTTCTTTAGCAAAATCGCAGCATCATCAAGCATTCGATTACACTTTGAGTTAATGCACTCACACGGGGAGATACCCAAGAATATCATCATAGGTAGATGTGCATTGCAGATACCTAAAGCACTTATCACGGCATGTGTAGTAGCTTACTGAAGAACATCTTTGCTTGTAAATAAAGGACATTTTAATTTCTAGTATCTGACTCAGTATTAAAAAATTGAAAGGAATCTAAGTGTTCAATCTTCTCCGTTCCATGGTATCTCCGTCGCATTATTCTTCCATATCTTTCATCATGTCGTACAAAACGTGCCAATAAGTGTTATCCAAAAAGGGGTATCCAAGTTCCGAGGGGTGTTGTTTGGTCTACTCAACATGGTCTGAAATAGCAAACTTGCTGAGAGATCGCAGCTTGGCGCCGTAGAAGTACAGCAGCCAGATGCCGATGATACCAATGACACTCAGACCGCCAAGCAGACTGGTGCCCTTATCAACGCCGAGGTTGTCAAACAGAGGCTGAGCGAAGAGCACACTGCCACAAGCAAGAGCGCTTCGGAAGAAGTCGTTTGCAGCGAAGAGACTGGCTGCGTACATGGGATAGCTGAGAGGGATGTAGACAAAGATACACTGCATCACAATAAAGACTGTAAAGCCGTAGATGGTGATGCCGATGGTGGGAACAATCCAGTGGATAGAGGCTCGAGCTGTCCAGGCGAAGAGGAACAGGCCGATGGTAGGACCGAAAGAGGCGATGAGAGCTGGGACGAGTCGGCTTTCTTGGATGGGCCAGCCGCGCTTGGCGATGCGAGGGTCCATGTAGTAGTAGAGGTAGCAGAAGTAGAGGCCAACACCGATGATGCAGGAGACGAGAACGCAGAGGAAGACGAGGCCGATCTGACCGAGGTTCATGCCGTAGTAGACGGGGTAGACACGAGGGAACACCTCGAAGACTGGGGAGAGTTAGTTAACTGCTATGCTAGTGATATAATGAGGAGAGACTTACAGGAGTAGTAGATTCCGTAAATGATGGCAGTGTAGATCTGCACGAACAACACAGCGGGATCCTTGATGGTGATCTCCATGGGCTTGATGAGGGCATCGAGGGCAATGGCAGAGACCTTCATGTGACGCTGATCAATCTCGCTCTGCGACATGAAGCGCTTGTTGCCTGTGAGTTTACGCAGACGCTCAGCGCGACGGAGCAGGATGTTGGCGCTGCTAGTCTCGGGGAGGAGGAGGAACATGAGAATGAAGACAGGAGCCGAGGCCCAGATACTCTCATAGAGAGACCAGCGCCAGCCCTTGACGGGAACGGCGAAACCGCTGAGGAGAGGACCAAGGGCAGCTGTAGATAGGTGTGTTAGTTGATGAGTGTTGAAAGGGAAGAATAGGAGGGGGGACTTACGACCACAGTAAGCAGCAGAAACCCAAGCCATCATGGCATAGGGGATAGACATCATGCTGTAGATATCCTGGAGAGAGGCACCTCCAGAGGCCAAACAGGGCGAACCGAAGAAACCCTGAAGGAATCGAAGCACCATAAGACCAGCGTAGTTATTCACCAGAGCCGTAGGGATGGAAATGATGACGAAGAGGAACATGGTGACGATGTAGACGGGATTGCGGCCAATGCGAGGGATCTCACTCAGGGGCGAGAAGACAAGAGGCCCGATGCCGTAGCCGAGAACATAGAGTGATAGACCGAGAGTGGCCTTGAGTTGGCTCACGCCAAAGGCTCTCATGACGCCCTCGGTGGAGGAGGTGTAGATGGCGGAGGAAGTATACACGACGAAGGTGTAGAGACAGATGATGACTGCTACGCCGAGACGTCTGTTGTTGGTCCAGTTGTGAGGATTCTCGTTGTCGTCGCTGAAGTACCAGTCCACGAGAATAGAGCCATCTCTCGTCCTCTTGGGCACAACGGGGATGGACTTGACCTTTTCCACATCGTGCTCCTCCTCGGCTTCAAGACGATCAATGGTATACGCCTGCGTCTCCCGCGGTGAGCGCGAGCGATGGAGTCTGATGGGCTGCGAATCACCACGCTCGACGTCGTTCTTCTCATTGTCGTTCTCGCCCTTGGTCTTGGGGTCTTCAGTCGCGGCAACGGTAGACGAGGCAGACGAGGCGAGGACGTTGTTTGCATTGGGAGAGCTCTCTTCGATGATGGCGTCGGGGTTGTTGATGACTGTGTTCCACGCTTCGGGGAGCTGGAAGCCGGGCTTCTCTTCTGGGTATTGGAAGTATTTGTTGCGAGTGACGAAGCGGATGAGTTGCCCCAGGGGAGCATCTCTGATGAGGTCGGACATGTTGTGTGAAGTAGCTGTGTATGTGATATGGTGATGTTGTGATAGGGTATTACTTGGACGAGAGACCACTTGGACAAGAGTAAGGTCACTTAGACAAGAGCAAAGTAGCTCTTTAAGCTTATATTCTTTGTCGAGATAGATAGATCTGGAACGAAGAGAATATTCCGAGAAAGGGGAGCTCAACTCATCTTATATCCATCATCTTCAACCCTTCCATGGAGAGCTTAGCAATCGAACACTCCCCCAACCACGGAGATAATCCTCACAGCATACACCAAAACATGTGCAAATCTACATACAACGCAACATAGACTAATCACTAATGTCTAATGTCCAATATCCATTGTCTCATCCCCCCAAGAAGGCCTTGAAAAGCCACTTTCGGACTAACATTGGCCAACGTTATTACCAATCCCCCTGCTTACTTACAGGCTCGGTACTCGGTCTCCATCCAAGTCCTTGCACATGGCGATCACTTCTGGGTCTAAGCGGAGTTTAGGGCTGACTTAGAGGATATGCAAGATTAGAGTTATCGCCGAGTGGAAGGGTTTATTTTATTTTATTCCAGTGTAGCTTATCTAGACGAGTTGCCCTTGTGTTCGTCTATCGTATTGAGAATCATCTACGGAAATACCTCTCCGTCTACCTTTATCTCCATGTACTTATCTCCTCTTTCTTCTTTTCTTTTCACTCTATCTATCTCTTCCGTAGCAACAAGCATAACAAAGTAAGACACTAATATCAAAAACCACACCTAGCTTCATCCAAATCTCCATGTCGTCATTCAAGATCCGGATGCTCGGCCACCTCACTATAAACTCGTAGATCTGTGAGCACTAACATCCTGATATTCAAATCTTAGTGACTCACTCTCTAAGACTGTGAAAACCATGTACATTCTTCTTTCTCACCTAAGCGGCCCTATTCAGAAGTCCGCCGCCAGCTCACTTCTCTCACTTCTTTTTGTTTCTCCCAACCAGTAAAAACGAAGCCAAAAAGCATGTCTCATAGGCCTATCTACGTAGTACCGTACAGTCAAAGTTACACTAACATAGATAATCAGCACTAAAAAGAAAAAGGTCAGACCCTGCCAAATCTTAGCTTACTCAAAACCCTCCACTAATTCAGCAGCAAATGCCGTTCGAGGCCTGCAAGAAAGCTTAGCAATCTGCCCCGTATCCCCGGGACGTAAATTGTACAGATCAACCAATCAGAGGATGATCTGCCCCTGGATTAATCACCCTCGGTGTGACGTCTCCCCGGTCTTGTCTTGGCATTGAGGCTCACGATTATCACACTAATCACCACATTAAAGGGACAGGGCACGCAAGATTATTAACCACGGGCCAATTTTGTAATATCTCCTCAGAACTACTCGATTCCAGATATTTATTATATATCATTATATGCATGACTCATTACACTAACCGAACTTCTTCAATAAATTCATTCTCCTGCTTGAATCTCCCTACTCTAAATTTTGGGTACAGTACGGAGTAGCCCTCAACAACGCTCACCGTAACGTGCCCTTCCTCGCCATATAGAACCCTATAATATTGTGATCTCATCTCACTGATTGTTATCGATCCAAGCATACGCTGCCCAAAAGATCGACGCCCGCTCCTCATGCCAGCAGCAACCTTGAGGCTCACCCAAGCTAACATCCCAAGGCAATGGCACCGGATCTTCCGGCACTCTGCTTACCAGCCCTAGCTTGTTTAGGCATCGTATCCTTTCCTGCTCAAGTAACTGCCGCTTATAGGGCTTGAACCAAAACTACAAGAGAGCTCTTATCTCACTGTCATGGTCGTCATTTCATTGACGTTCATCCACCATAGTCAGCCTGCCCAGAGGATGTCGACTCAGCAATGCCGTATATATATCCTGTTCTATACTAGCTGATACCTCTAGTCCCAAGTGTGACTTGGCGCTGACCTGGCTTGACTGTATTGTGAAGCGCGAGCTCCAGACTCGGGGATTGTAAACGTAATAGTCTGCTTTCAGAGCTCTCATCTTATTCACACATCAACCGTCGAATGTCATTCGTTCTGGGTTCATTGTCTCATCGACTCATCTGTAGCATCCACTGTTGGCGCCTTATCAGCCTGCTCGCTGCTCGACACGTTTGTTTATGCGTCTTCGTTGGAGCTCCTGCCGAATCATCAAAGCCGGGGCGTCGTCACCCTGGTCTAATTCGTCAACGAGCTCCCACACCCGAGGATGCTCTGCATCAAGAGCCTTCTTGACGAATGGCTCAACCCACCCTGAGGACCTCCATAGAGTTGAGCCTGGCACTCGCCTGTCAGATGAAACCTTGATGGATTCCAGCGTTGCAGCCTTGGCAAGGCCAATGAACTTGAATGCAAGCTCAAAATCACCCTTCTCTGCGCAAGCTGGAATTATTATGTTGTATGCGGCCGCTGCATCCGCTCGGTCCATCCATGACTTGGAAACTGTGACATCCAAGTCTATATCGCCCTGTCCAGACTCATCCTGTGCAGACACCACATCCTGTGCTGGTGTGCCTGGGACAAGATCCATCTTCGCAATCTCAGCATTGTAAGCTTTCGCAAGCTCGTATTTTGCCTCCATGTCCACACAGTAGCGGAGTAACTTCTCGATGTCGCTGCAACGGGGATTTCTGCCAGTGAAGCGGTATGTGTCGCGGAACAAAGGCATAGCAGCCTCCGAAGTCCGAGTTCGAGCCAGTGCCTCGACCGTGACCATGACGGCGTCCAAAGCAACTGGGCCCTCCTTGTGCATAATATGAATGGCATAGACTGATTTGTGAATAAGAGCCACGTCCCTGAGTAACGCCTGCAAGATAGGTCGGGTGGTCCCCTGGTCTACAACCCATCCAGCATTCTGTAGTGTGTTCAAGGTGACGAACGCACCCTCCACATCCCCTGCATTAGCGAAGGCCTCAACAATAGCATCGTGGTGATACTGGTCGAGTTTTCCACGCTTTGACAACTTATCAAGAGCTTCGGTAGCCAGATTGGCATCACCATGCCTGGCTGCTGTCGCCAAGACGTTTTCGAGAATGCCGTTAGAGGGATTATGAATCGAGGTTTTGATAACATCTGCCCACACAAAAAGTGTCCCTGCGTGATGGAACCCTTGGCTGAACATATCCAGAGCCATTAGTTGGATATTTCTGAAAGAACTATCCGTACCCTTGGCATGTTTTCTTTGCTTGAATAAATAGAGCATCTCGTCAAAGAAGCCCAGTCTACCATATTCCAGAATAAACACATCGTACACCCAGAGATCGATGTGTTCGGCTTCGTTCATTAGCTGGGCAATTTTATCCATGGCCAATTCATGTTGTCCTTCTCGCAACATTGCAACGGCAATGTTCTGCTTGGCAGACATGGTGTATTCAAACCAGTGCTTGTCCATGATCTCCATGACCTCCTGGCGCAGTACATATTCTGGATGAACAGTGAGTGCTTCGAGGGCAAGGTAGCATACGTCCGCACTGAGGGGGATGTTCTGATCACGCATGTCTGCGAGTATCCTGCGGATTCCCCCACTCGAGCCGCTGGGAGCAGCCATGGCAGCCAACATACTCTCGTAGATCAACGCATCGAGAGGGTATTCCCGAAATTTGACAAGATACCTGACAATATTGACAATCCTTGAAAATCGGTTGTCTGGCAGCATATCGTTTCCAGCTTGCTTTGGTAGCCGCAATCTTCTGAGCGCCTCAACAATAAGTGGCGTTGAGACGTTGTCTAGGTTAGGCAAAACCGGAGCAAGAGCTGGGTTCTTGGAGGTTTTCAACTGGGCTTTTTGTTCCTTCTGCCGCAGTTCCATGTCTATCTGAGCTTCTTTTTTGTTTCGCTCATCGATTTGCCGTAGTTCGAATTCATTGAAGAATGAATCCAACGACTGCAATCGCCCAGGTGATTCTGGAGATTGCGCACCCCTAATTTTGCTAACTCCAAACTGCCGGGACTGAGTTATGTCCAGACGTTGAGGTTGTTGACCTAATCTTTCACCGAGAACCAGAGTATTGAGAGCCCTGGGCAAGCCACGCTTGTGAGCTGCAGGGGAAAGGCAGCGCCATAGCCCATCGTACGCCAATTGCGGGCGGGGCATACTGGCTGAACTGCGTTGTCGTTTTATCGACGAGCGATGTTATGAAGAAAGACGAGTAATTCAATTGCATGTACATGGCGGAAGCCTTCCGTGTACCGTGCAACAGCCGCGTTATCACCAAGCGGGGCTATGCACTTCACGAGGCGTTAGCCGCTCAAGCGCTCTCACCTTTGACCTTAACCTAGACCTTGGGCTCACCGAAACAGCCGCGCTCCACTGAGCTGTTCCCATTCTCAACAGTCTGTTTCCAGCGCATCATCACATAGCATAGCTACCGGCGCAACACACGACAATATGGTACGTTTCCCATATCTTCCCTTCCGAGATGAAAGGCGAGCTGCCGTTATTCTCGCCCACATATCTCCTCGGCGCATGACGCAGTCTCCAGCAGAAGCTAACGTCAAATAGCTACCCCTCGGTCTACTGAACGCGGCCCAAGGCCACCCCATGCTGGTCGAGCTCAAGAACGGCGAGACTCTTAACGGTCACCTGGTTTCCTGCGACACATGGATGAACCTCACACTGAAGGAGGTGGTGCAGACAAGTCCGGTATGCTGCCCTCGAACACAACCACGATAGCTTTGGGCGGAATATGATGCTAATGACTGGAATACAGGAGGGCGATCGATTCGTGCGGTTACCGGAGGTTTACGTTAAGGGAAACAACGTAAGTTCCAAGCGCTTTACGATTCACTCGTATTTGGGGGTGAAACTGACAGCCTTTAGATCAAATATCTTAGAGTGCCCGACGAGATTATCGACCAGGTCAGCGAGTCACAGAAGGGCCAGCAAGGCGGTTTCCGAGACGGACGAGGAGGACAATCAAGAGGTGATCACAGCGGACGTGGTGACCGTGGACGGGGTCGTGGTGGTAGAGGCCGAGGACGGGGACGAGGTCAATAAATCGACTACAATGATTGGCGACGATTACCTTGCGCATTTAGAGCCACCGGCCTCAGATCTCAAGCACCTCATGATAAGACACAAAGAGAGTCCGTGGTACCAAGAAAAGAGGAGGAAGCCTGATCCTCTGGTTACGGTATAACGCATCGATATCTCAGCTACCAGCTTCCAGGTTGCTACCCTATGAACGGGCTGCAAAAGTTCGGGATGAATCCTGGATATGCTGGGAAGAAGAAGCAGGCCGAAAAGAATCCAAATGCCGTATGAAGTCAAGTCATTCCATGCGAAAAATGTACTATTTATGTCCTATCATGTGTTGTTTGTGAACATGTGGAGTTGTATCTGCCGATAGACCAACTTTAAGTTTAACTGCTGAAACTGCTTTATATCAAGGCCCTCCTATGTCGGCGTCAAACAGCCTAATCACTACCACGATAGCAAGGAATATTGCACACTACACATTTTCTTGACAAGACTTATCTCGCTAGTTGATAACGGACATTCGTCTAGCAATTCAAGATGCAGAGCCAATCATATATCTTTATCCAGCTCATCACAGCACAATAAACATTCACAACACTTCCAGAACAATCCAAGTATAACATATTTGTCTATTTCATGCGTAAAACATTCTACTCAGAGTAGCCCGCACCAAGTTCTATCAACACCATAGGTCCAGTTATGCTCAACCGTGACCACCAACATATATCATCAAAAGCTCAAGGCATCATATCGAAACACATGTTCATCAAACGCCAATTAAAAAGCCCAAAGTAAACCTTTACAAATCCCCGACTCATTTACTTAACCATTTTAAAAGTTGGCAACAGCCACGGCGATAGCCTGGCTATCGGAGTGTGAGATGGACAGAGTAATGTCCTTCACACCAGCCTTCTGAGCGGCAGCAGCAGCCTCACCATGAAGCTGGAAACTTGTTAGCATCGTGTTTGTTGTTCGTGATAGTATGGGGACTTACAGAAACAGTAGGAGCACCGTTCTCTCCCTTGACGATCTCAATATCCTTCATGGCAGCACCGGCACCTTGGCTGGCGACACCCAGAGACTTGAAGACAGCCTCCTTGGCACTCCAGCGACCAGCAAAAGAGCTCTGGGGGCTAGGGGCCTGTCGGCAGTAGGAGATCTCGTTGGCGGTAAAGTTTCGCTCAACAAAAGTGTCGTTGTCAATGTTGACGGCAGAAATATCTTCAACATCGACACCGACCTGGCTGTTCTTGTTGGTAACCTTGAGAGCCAGAGCCTCCATGACCTGTTCGGTCTCCTTGGCCTTAGCCGATGAGACAACCTTCTCAGACTTCTTCATGAAGTCGGGAGAATACTTGAGCTCGGACGACTTCTTGTCCTCAGAGACACGAGCATCAGGGTTCAGGAGAACCTTGCTGAGCTGCTCGTCAGAGTAAGGAGAGTTGTTCTTGGCAACGAACAGCTTGTTGTTAATGAAACCATCGTGGAAGTAGCGGTAGGCCTTCTTCTGACGAGCATCGACCTTGGCGCAGTAATCGGTGTAGGTCTTCTCATCGAGAGTGGCGAACAGGTACTTGGGGTGAATACCAATGGCCTGGGCACCCTTCTGTCCGAAACCGAAAGAGGTAACGGAGAAAGCCTTGACACCATCGGTCTGGATGCTTCGGCTGGGGTAGACAATCATGTCGTACTGCTCCATGATAGGGTCAATGTTATCAGCGTTACGGTTACCAGGAACAAGACCAGTGTCGAGGACCTGGAGACATCCGTTCATCATCCAAGCACCTGCAGCACCCTTGGGATGACCAGTGAGGTACTTCTGGAAGATACCCAAGACGGCGTTACCCTTCTTGCGACCAAGGTGGCGGAGCTGCTGGCAGATGACGCTGGACTCGTTCTTATCGTTGGCCTTGGTGGAGGTTCCATGGAAAGAGGCAACACCAATATCGTCAACAGTAAGACCCCAGGTAGCGAGGGCACCACGGAGAGGAGCGATGCTGGGGTCGCTCTTCCAGAAGTTGTTACCCATGCTGCGGAGAAGTTCCTTCTCCTGTCGAGCAGCCTCCTTCTCGATATGAGTGAAGCGGTCCTGAGCATACTCCTGCTCGTCAAAAGTGGCACCCTGAGACTTCATGGCGTCAATCTCGTCGTGAACGTACTCGAGCTCAGACTCTTGCCATTGCTGGATAGTCTTCTTGCGGCGTTCGATTTGACGACGACGGTACTTGATGTCAAGAAGAGGCGAAGGGAACTTGCCAGGGTTCTCACGGGCAGTGGTGAGAACACCCTGTCCAGGAGCAGGAACGGAACGGCCGATCTTGTCAGAAGCAGTGGTAGTAAGAGCAACGATACCGTGGATGGGGACACCCATATCAAGGGCCAACCTGGCAGTCATGATGATCTGGATACCGCAACCTTGAGACTCCATGAATCCGTTTCGGGTAGTGGTGGTAGGACGAGACATCTCTCCAGGAGTGCGGCCATGGGCGAACTCATCAACAGTGTTGCTGGTGGCCTTCATGTTGGCGAACTCGTAAGAGCCTTCCTCACCGAGATCATCAAAACCACCGACGAAGCAGACGCGAGCCTTGCCCTCCATGATGGTCTCGTAACCAGTGTCGATGGACTCAACCGCAGTAGCACAGGCACCAACGGGGGTCTTGATAGGTCCAGAAGAGGACATCAACAACATGTTAACCCAGGCAGCCATGGTGTTGATGAAAGACTCCTGAAGAATGTCGTTCTGCACGGGCTGATCGAGGAAGCGAGTGCGGTGCATGTCACGGAGGGCGGCAGCACCACCCATACCAGAACCAACACAGTTACCAACCTCGGAAACGTGGACGTACTTGTAGAACTCGTAGGGGTCGGTGATACCGGAAGACAGAAGAGCCTCGGCGGTGGAGACGAGGAGGAACAGGGTGACGGGATCAACCTGAGACACGATGTCCTCGGGAATACCGTATCGCTTGGGGTCCCAGCCAGTGGGGATCTGGCCAGCAACAAGGCGGTCAAAGCGAAGAGCCTTGGGGATCCAGAGAGAGGCACCCTTCCTGAGACGGATGATGTATTCGCCGCTGTCAGGGATCTCGAAAACCTCAACCTTGTCACCATGCTCACGCTTGAACTCTTCGGCGGTCTCCTTGGAAGCCTCGAAAGGCTCAAGGTCCTCCTCGATGACAACCTCGTGAAGAAGCTGCTTCTTATTGGGGTCGTAACCCTCGAACAGCTCAGGCTCGATCAGACGAATACCAGAGTGCTCGAGAACGAACTTCTCGTACTTCTGCTTGACGTCCTTGTCGTCGACAGGCTCGCCTGTCTTGGAGTCGACCCAGCCAGAGTAGGGCTTGCCCTTGATAGGACCGTTATGGTTCTTGATGAGACCCATGATCCAAGCCATCTCAACGCAACCCTCGAGAGAGAATTCGCCGTAGGCCTCCATCTCCCATCGAGTACGAGAGTTACCCCAAGGACCGACTTCAGCAAAACCTGTAACGACGACAACCTTCTCGAGATCGACCATACCCTTGAGGTTCTCGTTGAGAGGCTCAACCTCGGTCTTCCAATCAGGGCGGTTAGGGAAGTCGAATTTGATGTTAGCACGGGGCTCAATAGTCTTCTTCTTGTAAAGGACCTCGGAGGCGGCACCGTTAACAATGGTGTTCTCAATGGCGCTCTCCTTGGCAACAGCACGGCGGACCTCGCTGGTCTCCATGATGTCCTTGCGAAGCTTGGTCATGGTCTCGTTGAGGTTATGAATGAACTGCAGGCCACCGTTGAGATCAGCAAAAACTGGCTCAGACTGGCACAAGTCAACCAGAGTGGGAGACATGAGACCGAGAAGGTTGAAAGCCATCTCCTGCTGAGAGAAAGTGCGGACACCGAAAGCCTCAACGCCCTCAGCAACGATGTTGTTACCGGACATGAGACCAGTTCCACGAGTCCAACCGATAACAGCACCGCAAATGGTGAGGTAGTTGGCCCAGCTCTCGGAGTGCCACCTGTTGAAGAGAGTCTCGAGACCGAGCTTGGACTCGGAGTAGAGACCATCGTTTCCAAAGGTGCCGTGGTTGGGAGATAGAGGCAGAACAACTTGAGCGGGTCGGGTCTCGAAGCCGCGCTCGGTCTTCTGAGCCTTGACGCATCCAAGGAGACGGACAAGGTTGGTAAGCATGATACGGTGGGCCAGCTCGGACTTGGAGTCGATGCTGTCGATCTCACGGCCGTTCTCGGGAATAGCAGCGAAAGGAATGATGAAGTCAAGATCCCAGCCGAGACCCTCCTTGGTATCGTAGATGTACTCGACAAGTGCCTCGACATCTTGCTTGCTACCCTGGTTGAAGGGGACGACAACAATCTGGGAGCCACGAGATCCGTAGCGGGTGTACATAGCCTGGTAGTACTCAGTGACCTCGCGAGAGAAGCGGCTGGTAGTCACAATGACCTTGGCACCACCGCTAACAAGACCCTGCAGAACCTCGGCACCGATAGAACCAGCACCAGCACCAGTCATGAGAACATGCTTGTTCTCGAAGGTGACACCTGACTTGGCAGCATCCTCCAGACAGTTGAGGTACACGCCAGTGAGCTTCTTGCTGTAGTCCCAGCCGTGCAGACCCTTCTTCTTGAGGTGAAGGAAGGGGATGGTCTCAACCTTGCCCTTGCTTTGGCTGTTCTTCAGAACCTTTCTTCCCTTGTTGTCCTTGGGGAGAATCTGGCTCTCGTTCATGGCAAGCGAACGGAGAACATCACCATACAAGCTCTTGATCTCAATCTGGGAGGTCTTGGACAGCTTGTGTTGCTGCTTAATAAGTTTGTAGATGCGAGAAAGATCGCTCTGAACCTTGGTGCGGTTTCCGTACTCAGAGATCTTACCACCCTCAGCCATCTGCTGGACATAGTGCTCCAACTTGCGGCAGCTAGCACGGGGGATTTCCTCGTAGTTGAGGTTGCCTCGGGCATCAACTGTCGTCCTGGGGCCAGTAGGAACAGCAACATCCTTGTACACGGGAGCGACG